TCAGGTCAATATTCACTAAAAAAAGTGCAATAAATGTCAAAGTTTAACTTTTCAGTAATATTTTGTATGCCCACGCCAGCTTTTAATCTAAACTATTGGGGAAGCCAGCTCTCATTCTGTGTTTCTGCATGCTTTTGACGAGTTAACATGTTAATCAGGAAAAGGGCTCTGCTGTCCAACTATTAGATAAGTTATTTGGAAAAGAAAAAATATTTGTCTATGAATTTGTGGATGAAGTGTTTCCAAGAAGAAATTATAAATGGGTCCTATTTTAGTGCTCTTCTATTATGAATGACAGGTTTAACATTCTTAGAACCTTAAGAATATAATGACTACATCTTTAAAAGCCTCTAGGGATTATTGTACATTAGCAAATCAGACTCAGTAAATTATTTATCTATAAATTAATCTTTCTAAACAGATTTCCACCCCTTTCAATTTGAAAGCTAAACTTCTGAGTCTCCACTTCAGCAACTTCATATCTGAAGGGCCTACATCTGTACAAACATTTCTAATGAAAACACTAAGACAACCCCCAGAGAAGCAAATAAAATGAGATTTAAGTATATAGCGACCTTTTTACAGTTACATTCCTAACAATAGTGGATTCTAATTTGATGCCAAACTGAGGTTATGTAATAAAATCAGTGAGCAATCTAGCTCTTTTGGTTTTAGTGAAAAATTTGGGTTTTTAGGCAATTCTATTTTCCCATTTACAAAAAACTAAATGAGCTACATCTCAGTAAGCCATGGAAGCGAGGGCCCTATGGTTAGGAAGACACGACTGTACTCTAGAATAGGCAGCAGAAAAGCACACAGTGTAAAGTTTAGGCTCCAAAAGCAAGGGTATAATGGCTAAAATGCAAATGTCAAAGGTGGATTTAAATTTTCAGGTCACAATTAAAAATTATTCAACCAGGGCCAGGGATTTAGCTCAATGGTGTCACTGCCTGCCTCACAAGCAGAAGGTACTGAGCTTGATCTCCAGTATCAAAAAAAAAAAATTATTCAACCAGACTTTATTCAACACTCCAAGTCACTTTTTTTTTTTTTTTTTGGTACTAGGAATCAAATTCAGTGCCTCACACTTGCCAGACAGGAACTGTACTACTGAGCTACATCCCTGGCCCAAAATTCACTTTTATCCATTAACAAAATCACCAACCAAAAGTAGGACTACCTACCACCAACAAAAAGTTACTAAGCCTAATTTTGAGAAATACCCATCTGTTGTAAAAAAATTCTTTTCCAGCTTATGTTCATGGTATGGACTATGGCTGCTAAAAAAAAAAGCGTCTCATGTTTTATTGTCAGTATGCTTTTTAAAAAAGTTAATGAGTTAAATTTTATATATTATTAAGGCATTAAAATTTGAAGTTTCAAAGATCCTGAAATTTACCTTTAGAAAAGAATAGAAATTAACTTTCACTAATTTCAGACTTTGTTAACAAGAGTGCTACAAACATGTAAGGAAGCATCTTTGCCACCATCTTTAGGTTGCTTTGAAAGGTGACTCTAGTGTAGAAAACATCCCTTCGGTAGTGAGACTACTAGGTAGGCAGAGTTGAAGCAAAGACTGATACAAACTTTTTTCAATTATAGTAAAACATATACAATATAACATTTACCATTGTAACCTTTTTTTTCTTTTTTTTTTTTTTGGTACCAGGGATTGAACTCCAGACCTTGTGCTTGCGAGGCAGGTGGAGGAACCACTGAGCTAAATCCCTGGCCCCTATTGTAACCATTTTTAAGTGTATAATTCAGTGGCCTTAAGTATGTTCAGCATTCTATGACCATTTCTACTGTCACCAAATCAGCTGGAGAATTTGTTCAATTCAGACAGAAATGACAAACTGGCAAAGTTGCAGTCCCCTGGATGTTTGGGGCTCCAGATTCTGAATGCTGGTAGCTCTGAATCCTTGGTGTTACAGTTGAGCTTTGAGTGCCAGTGCTGCTTAGCAATTCATGTTACATCTTAGTATCACAGCTCCTGCCATCACCAAGCCACTCCTATCAGCTGCTGAGCAGTTGGGGCTTATATCCCCCTTGGTGGTTTTCTAGAGCTTTTCCCACCTCTTCCATTTCCTCTCAGGAGGCTTTTCCCCTGGTCTCTGCAGGCTTCTTCCTGCAGAAGACTTCTCCATAGGACTCTGCCACCCTTGCTCTTCACTGCCCTCTGGAGCTCTTCAGGGCTAATAGTCCTTAATGTTCCAGCTTTCTTATACTATAGAAACACACTCAACTCACTCTTCCCAAGCTAAGAATCACAAGTAGGAAACAGACCACAGAGCAAGGCTTTCATTGGGATCTGTGCTGCAGCAGAGGGTGATAGTACACCAAGGGATCTCTCCTGGACTGACCTGAGGGGTGTGAGGGAAGTGTTTTACATATATACATATATATATATATATATATGGAACAGCCTGTAAATAGTCTCCTGAATTTCACGGACCTGTTTTGACCTTTGAAGTAGTAGGAGCAGGGACATCTGGGATAGGTCTGTGTAACAAGCCGGCTGCAGCCAAGGCAAATGTCTCCCACAGTAGCTGTGGGTGTCTAGGATAGCTTCCGCTATCATCTTGACAAATGGGTGGAACTATGGGGGAAGTGGCTGCTTGACTCACCTTTTCCACAAAAATGCAGCACAAGTTGTGACTACTGCTGCTGCTTTCAAGGAGATTCCAGGAAGGGCCCAGTGTTGATCATGGCCCATTGAGGTTGGGGATTTGGGGGACAATGGCGCAGGGAGGGTGTGGCAGCTGCCTGTGGAGTTGTGCCTGTCAGGGCAGCAAGGGTGAGTGGTGACTTGTGGCCGCTTCTGACAGGAAGATGCTGTAGCAAATCAAGGCAAGATCATCCTGGGGCAGTTAGGGGTAGAAGTGTGATGCTATCTGTGAAATCATACCCCGCAGCTGTCAGAGGGAAAAAGGAAAAGTTGGGCTTCATTTTTCTGTCTCATATGCAAAATCCAGGACATTTTGATTATCCCAAATAGAAGCTGTACCCATTAAAAAGTAACTCTTCTCCCTGCTCCCTGGTAACCTGTTCTGTTTTCTGTCTCTGTGAATTTAAAGTTGATTTTTCTATAAAGTAAAAACAATCAGACAGAACTACTCAATAGGGTGTGGCCAGTCATGTCATAAATTCATAAACCTGTCAGTGAGAACAGGGAAGCCTATTTTCCCAGCATCCCAGTAATCAAAATATTTTATGTCTGTTTCGTTAGGCAGACCATGCACAATATTTACTTCTTGATATTTTTAGCAAATAGCCTCTGTATCTGAGTTTTTAATCTGTGGATTCTGCTTCTGTGGATTCAACCAACTGGGTCAAAATATTTAAAAATATTATACCACTCTCACCTGAATATGTATGCAATGTTTGATCATTATTTTCTAAATGATAGTGTGAAAATTACTTGCATAACACCAACACTGTGTTAGATATATGTAATCCAGAAACGATTTAGATTCTATGTGAAGATGTGCACAGGTCAAATGCAAATACTACAGCATTTTATACAAGGGGCTTGGACATCCACAGAGCATGGCATCCACAGGGGTCCTGGAACCAATCACTGTAGAGGGAGAGCTGAGGGACAACTACACTGTCTGAGAGGACATTTACTGTCTGAGTGCCTATACACAGAGGGTAGGCACTATCTTACTTCTGGCACATCACAGCACATAAGGTAGACTTGGGCTCTGCCCTTGTTGGACTTATGTTCTGGTTGACTATGTGCCATTATCCCTATACTCTACATGGAAAAATGTGCCATTTTGACAAGGTAACAATGGCATGTTTGTTTGGGAATCAGATCAAAAGTGTCATTTTTGACCAGTTCTTTTGCAGGTGATGGATAAAAGAACAATTGAGTCTATTCTTAACTGATGCTAAATATTATATCCTTATGTTGACCTTCTGGATCTTTCTTTCAATTCAATATCTCATAAAATAGTATATAATATAGAAACCAGTCATAGAAAAACTGTATCTTAGGTTAATACTTAAAATTTTCTATATCAAATGAAATGTCTAAAACAGGTGAATCCATTAAGTCAGAAAGCAAATTAGCAGCTATGAAGAGTAGGGGAAAAAGGAAGTGACTGCTAACACGTACCAGGGTTTCCTTTTGGAGTGCTGAAAATGTTTTAAATAGTAGTAATGGATGCACAACCTTGTAAATCTACAAAAAACATGGAATTGTATACTTTAAAATGTGATTTTTGAAGGGTATCTGAATTATATCAATGTAAAAACTCATATTAGGTAGTCAGTAACCCTAGACACAATGATGGTGAGACCACATTTTAAGCTTCCATATACAACTAGCATGGGACCTTCCTGTAGACGCTAAGGCCAGGTCAAGCTGTTCTGAAGCTGCTGGGGACAAGCAATGTGTTCTAGAGCAGTCTGTGAACTCAGGTTCAGCTGACAAGTATCTAGGCAGAGCAGCAACAGAGGAAAGACTATCTGTTCAGACCGGACTGTCTCCCTCAGTTTGTGCAGAGCCCTGGTGTACCCTTAAACCACACCCAAACCTTCCCACCTGCTCCAGCACAGTAACTCACAACCAGATAGAAATCACTGGGGCATTCCTGTAAAGGAACTCTCCAACTTTATGCAGACATGGTTTCAGATATACTTGTAGACATGACACTGCTTCTATGTAATACACGTGAACCTTAGAAATGGAAACTCTAGACTTTCTTCATGGAATGTAATCATAGACATTTTAAGGGTAAATTACGTTTCACCTAAAAATATACAAGGAAAGGTTTCCTCTTCCATGTGGTAATCAAGAAACTTATCTGTCTACCCACTCACTTAGCTACTGTGGTCATACTCACTAAGGCCCAAGCATTAACCATTTAGTAAATATGTAAAGTGCCACTTACAGAGTGGCTACAGCTGAAGGACTATGAAAGACTGTTAAAATTGGAGAAAAAATAAAAAATACAGTGACTTGAAACAAAAATAACAGACTACTAAAGAACTCAAAGATACACACAATTATTTTATTTGTTAAATTGCATTAGCCAAAAGACTGATTTACAGAAGGCAAAATAAACCACACATACACTTTTGAGAAGTTCTTATTTCTTTAAATCTAAGGCCCCCTCTAGTGTTTGAAAAGTTACAGGCATCACACAATGCAAATGAAGGTTGTCAGAATGGAGACCTTCCAAATCAGAAAGAATACTTTTGTTCCATTTGTGTGGCATAAAAATGGATGAGAAAATAACCATAATTAATAAATATTTCAAATTCCTGCTATGATTAACTGATTCATTACTCCTTCAGTAACTACTTTCTCTGTTATTTACTGCTGTTTTTTTTTAAAGAGGATTAATACTTTGTTAATAAAGGAAAAAATATATAATGTAAATAGGGACTTTAATTTCCCAAACAAGATATACTTTGTTGAAAAATAACAGAACATTAATTTAATGTTACTAAGTAACTTATTCTGCTTTATTAATAATTAGTATATACTTCCTAAAGTATATACTTACATTTGGGAATGAGATTTTTAAACTGTATCTATTTTAAGACCCAAGCTTGTGAATTTGGTAATAATCTTTTTCAGTACTACATAAAGGGTGTGTGTGTGTGTGTGTGTGTAGACAAATGTGCTGAGGACAAATGTTGGCTTTGAGGAATATGATGTAAAGGAATGCTTCAAGTTTATACAGACACGGTACTGCATAAACCCAAGGACTTATTAATCTCATGTACTTCTGAAAAAGGCTGATTAAAATTAGAGTAAAAAATAGTTGTTTCATTCTTTTTTTCCCAGCTAAATCTTTTTTGTCAGTTTCCATATAGTATTGCAGAGGGCTTAGCAGCTAGTTTTTCTATCACCGGAAAATAAAAAGAAATCGCTAATTTTAACAAAAGACAATTCAGTGTTAAGCAGGAGGCTAATGGAAAAAAACAGCATTAAGTAAATAAATCATGCTTTTAGAAATCAAGAATATATTGAAAAATTGAAAATTCAATAGTTCTTAAAACAAGTTTAATATATGCTAACTTTAAACAAATGATTAATTTGTCACCCAATATGTCATATGGCTTCTCTGTATTGATACTACTTTGTTTTTCAAACGTGTCACTTGAAAATTATTAAAAATTAAGGGGAAAAAAAGTCATCTAACATGAGTTACATAAATGAGCTACATGTATAATTGGTTTCAACTTTTATAATATTTACACTCAAAAGGAACAAGACACAATATTATTAAAGTGCGACATATACTCTTTTGGCTCAACATGAAAAACTGTATAACTGGAAATTACTGTTGTCATTTCTCCCAGACCAAACTTAGTGAAAAGCTGTTTCGAAAGTTAGCCATCAGATTACAAACTGAAACACTGAAATTTTAAAAGGAGTATATAAAATGTAATTATGAATAAAACCAGCACTGGAGAGGTAGCATAAAGTAAATAAAATCAAATAAATACTATACAGGGAAATACAAAATTCTGCTTATAAAAAATTGAAAATAGCATTTAAAATACCCATTTTTCTTCATTTTTGAGTTTTACAATAAAATTAAAAATTTAAACCTGAAGTCTCTGTAAAGATTTTCCAAATATTATTAATTACTGGCATTGTTTTTAGCCAAAACCTCCCTGATCTGTCGGTTGAGTTCACTTATTATTTGATCTTCATGATTATATACACCCGTTCTCATCAAAGTATCCCTTTCCTCTATCAGGCGAGTCAAATAATCATCCAACCCTTCTTCCAATGCAGAGCCACGCAGGCCATCCATTTTCCCACTGGCAATTTCTCTGGAATCCTGGTACTGTTTCTGTTCCTGTTGCCTTAACCTGGTAAGTCAAGAACAAATGCTACTCTAGCAGACAACAAATACTGTTTTGTTTTTTCCTAACAGCACTATTTTAAAACAAAATGATTCAATGTTAAAGTAAGTTTTAATAATATTTTCCAAAGAACACAAAAACTAATGGCTTGGCTAGTCAAGTGTCAAAATATGGGCCGGGGATTTAGCTCAGTGGTTCTGCCACCTGCTTTGCAAGTGCCAGGACCGGAGCTTGATCCCCGGTACGAAAAAAAAAAAAAAAATCAAAATATTTAAAAAGGCAATTTAAAAAATAATAATTGTTCTCATTATAAAATACACCAAAACTACAGAAATTTTGGGTCTGTATAAGGAAAATAAAAATCACCTGCAATTTTATCATACAGGGATAACCAAAATGAGTGTAATTTTTCTGTATTTCTTTTTAATTAAAAATGTATACATGTACTTTACATCTTTTTCTAAAAAATTATTGATATTATATAAGCAATGCATATATGTACTATTTTTTCCACTTATTTTTATTCTCCTACATATTATCATTCTTGTAAATGGCTTCACGTTGTATCATCATTTAATCATCTTTTATTATATCCTTTAAGTTGTAATTACACCTTTGCTGCTTCAGCATAAAGTTTTTCTCTAAATTCATTCAACAGTTATTTATGCCAAACTATCTGGAGACACTACAATGAATCAAAAGGAAACATCCACTGTTGTGGAACTTACACCTCCAGTTATTTGTTGAGTAAAACTGAGTCTAAGTGCATGGTTCAGTGGGCATATACACATTAAAGTTAGTATGTATCTTCAAGTTATGTTACTGATGACCTCATTTGCAGAGACTTTAAAAAATAAGGTGCTACTCTGGGATTTGGGTAGTTCCAACAGATTACCGTTGATCATACTGCCTTGAAAATGGAGGGGGTGGTAATAACAGTGTTGCTATCACCTAGTGAGTCCCCTGACTTTGGAATGTGGAATGTATTTTAATTTAGAAAGTACAATTAAGATTAACTTTATATTTATCTAATAACTGGCTACAGAAAGCTTTAATTTGCAACTATTCCTAAATTCTGTCTTGATAAGATAAAGCAGTTGAGTCTAAACCTCTGCTTTGAGATGATCTTCAGAGTGAGCCAAGGAGAAGCAAGCCCACTTCTGAATTTGCACAAGGGGCCTGGGAGAGGCGGGGAGAAGCAGTGAGGAACGTCCAACTCCCACTGCCCCGGAGGCCTGGGCTCAGAGAACATAGGCCAATTGGCGTAACTCTGAAACACGAAACTCAAATTTCTCCTACAAGAAAAGGAAACTCAAGAATACACTCCAAGAAGGGAACCAATCTCTGTTCTCAGAAAAAAAAGCCTCAACAGTGAGGGACACTGTATTCTGAGATACAGGAGTTATGTCCCAAATTTTCCCACTGAATTTGAGCAAGCATGAAGATGTGTTAAGGGTAGACTTGACTTCTTTATTCTTTTTTTTTGTGGTGGAGCTAGCCACCAAAGTAATGGCCTGGCACATACTAGATAAGTGCTCTACTACTGAGATACAATCTCCAGCCTACATGTAGATCTCTGAGGAGCTCTTTCTTCTACCCTAATTCTTACAGTCACTAGAAAGAAGAGGCCCTATAAGCAATGCCTTAATATATTAGAAACTTTAACCACTTTCTTTTCTGTATCATCTGTTCATTCATGAAGGACAAATGCAATTTTCGCAAAATTGACAGACTATCCTTACCACATATTTAATAAAATGCAAATCATCAGTCATGATCAGAACAGGAATCTGGAACCTAGAGCTAAACAAATCCTTAGCATCATCAAAGGAAATTCTAATATTCATGACAAATAGGGCCATGGATTTAGCTCAGTGGCGCTGGCACCTGCCTCTCAAGTACAAGGTCCTGAGTTCGATCCCCAGAACCAAAAAAAAAAAAATCATGACAAATGTTATACCTGGATTCCATTCACACACTTCCTGCCACTAGGAATCTTTTGCTTTGTAAAACTGCTGTTAGAAAGTTTCTTCTCATATTAAAGTCACTCTCCCTCTTTATAATTTTTTTCCTGCCTGAGGGAAGCCCACTTAATTTTTAAAAAAAATATGGTAGCCCTCCAGATATTTGCAAATAGCTATCTACTCCTTTCCCCAGGCGTTCTCTTCTCCAAGTTCAATATCCCTCACTCTCCTAACCAATTGGATGACATGATATATAGCCTCTTACTGTCCTGGTGACATTGTATTAGAATACCTCTACGGAGCTGATATCACTTAAAGAATGTTACACATTGGTAAGAATACTTCAGAGATGATTTTTGCAGTACTGAATATTGAATACTATTTCTCTTACTATCCTTAACTGTATTGATTCTTTGGGAGTCAACACACATTATTACTAGTGACCACTTAAATCCTAGGTTTCTTAATATAAACTGTTTTATTATGTCTTACCTATCACTTATGTGATTTTCCTTATACAGAGAACTGATTTTTGTCCACATTTATATATTTATATTGTTAGTTTCAGTTCTCTGAATCCTAACTTCCAAAGGCATTGATGAGATCTACAAATTTGATAGTCTGATAGTTTTAAGCCACTGAAACACAACACTTTTTGGTTTTGATGCTATATATGACAGCAAAAATATGGAAGGCAAGAATCATTTTATGTTTATTAATGTATAACATCATCCAAGTCTACAAACTATAGACATTGAATAAATATTTGTTGGAAAATCTATACCAAAGACCACTACACTCACTTTTTCTTTTTGCCATGAATGTAGTTATTTCAAGTTTAGTTGGCTCTTCTGTTTCTATACATAGCATTAATATTTTAAAATTTATTTTTGTGTGTATATTTCAGATTAATACTGATTAAATGGAATTTTAATTAAAGGATAAAATATTACAAATTTAGTTATATTAACACCTAAGACAACAGTTCATATTTATTACACTTTTACTATGTGTCAGTTGTTTTAAGTGACTTATATGCCTGTCTTACTTTTTATTAGTCTTTAAAGCAATTCTTTGAGGAAGATATCTCCATTAGAGATGAGGAAATTAAAGAGAAAGATGTAAATACCTTTTTTCAAGGTCATGCAGCTAATACATCATAGACCCAGTGTTTAATCTGATTCTACAGACTGTACTTTTAACTATTATGTTACACTGGGTTTCTCTATAGTGTCATTTTCAACTTAATCACACCTTCAACTGTACTTTATGTTAGGAATCACTAAGCAGCATACACACACACACACACAGACACACACAGGTACAAACACAAAAAGTACGGTAGTCCTCCTTATCCAGTTTCAGCTATCCATGGTCAATTGCAGTCCAAAAATATTAAATAAAAATTACAGGAACAAGTAACTTTTAAGTTTTGTACTGCATGCTATTAGAGTAGCACTAGCCTGTCTAGTCCATTCTGCCTAGGACATGAATCATTAGCTTGTCCAGCTGTAATGGGTACCTACCTTTAGTCCCTTAGTATCCTTCTGCTGTCAGACAATTGTCATGGTACTTCAGTGCTTATGTTCAAGTAACCCTTACATAGAGAGCTAATTCTTACACAATTCACTTTATCTTTTCATGTAGGCATTGTGTCATCTCACATTATCACAAGGGTGAGTACAGTACAATATTTTGCAAGAGAAACAACATTCACATAACTTCTATTAAGTATACTATTGTAACTCTATTTTATTATTAATCTCTTACTATGCCTAATTAATACATTAAACTTTATCATAGATATAACAGTACATGTGGGGGTCATTACTACGTGCTGTTTCAGGCATCTGTGGGAAGGTCTTGGAATATATTCCCCATGGATAAAGTGTGTATGTGGGGTACTATATAGTCTTTTGGGGGGAATTTTTCTTTGTTTTACTTTTATCAAGGGATTGGTACATCATTGTTAGCACATAGCACACTGTCTTAAGTTGGTTTAGACTGCCAAAAAATTACCATAGACTAGGCAGCTTAAAAACAAATTTACTTTCTCACACTTTTATAGTTTAGAAGTCCAAGACCAAGGTGCCAGCACAGTCATTTTCTACAGAGCTACCTTCTAGCTCCACTTCACCCAGTAGGGAGAAAGAGATACCAAGCATGCTTTCTGGCTTTCTGGTCTTTCTTCTTATAAGACCATTAATCTCTTCTTGAGGGCTCCACCTCTGTGGCCTCATCTCCAAATGCCATCATATCAGAGGTTACAGCTTCAACATTAATTTGGAGGGGACACAGTTCAGTTCATATACACATATATGTGATGAAAATATCCCATGATATCTCTATAGATGAAAATTGTTTTTCAACCCAAAGACATCTGACTCTACTTATTTAGATGTTCTTCCATTTTATTTATAAGCATATTTTTGTTTTCAGCACACAGATCTTATATATATTTTATTAATTTATAAATAAGGTTTTTTTTGAGCAGCTGTAAATAGTACTGTGTTTTTCACTTTGGTTTCTGTGTTCACTGTTCATATGTAGGGATATAACCAATTTTATATGTTTTTAAAAGTACCAATAGCTGTTAATTTATAATATGAAGACAATCTGTCTACATACAAAAATGTAATTTTTCATAATAAAAACAAAATTTTATACATAAGAAAAATGCCATCACTATATTAAATTGATTCAGAACTGAAACTGTATTTAGAAGATATATGAATAAAGTCAATTCTAAGTGCCATGCTTCCAGGGCACAATGTGTATACTACTTTTGTTCTCTTCTATTTAAAAAATGTTTATTTAATGGTTACAATGTTATAAGCTTGGAAGATATTATAGATTATTGAATTTTACCATGACCCTTGCCTTCCAAAAGTTTGCTCTCATCTATGGCACTGAAACCAAAAGAAGTGCTGTGTGCTGAGGACTATTTTGGTGGCTCAAGACAGCATTTGTGATTATAAATTTTGTAGATCATATCAAATGAACCTAATGTCTTAATACACTTTACATATGACCCACTTTACCCTTGACAGATCTAAAGTCGTACCTTCCCTGAAGCAAACGACCCAATTAAAAGGCTGTCCTATTGCAGCTTTTGGTTTTGTAGGAAAAAAGGAATTAATTAAAAATCTTTTAATTATTATACCTGTTCAATTCATTTCTTATATCCAACAATTCTTGTTGCTCAGTTTTTACTGTATCTTTTTCCTCAGCAGCTAGGTAACGCAGTCTCATCTGTTCCAATTCCTCTTGCTGCTTTTTAAGACGAGCCATTTGACTTTCTTGTTCTCTCTTGAAAGAAAGAAGCCAGACACCTCATATCAGGAATATATATTTCATATAACTTTGACTTATGATTATAATCCTATTGGACAATATCCATGATCCAGCCATGCAATGCCAACTCTATAAATCACATCTACTCTAGAAAAGTCCAAGTTTTCCTAAATACTTTCTTTCTCTTTTGCTATCACAATCACTCATGGTCCAATTAATGACTGAGGTCAGCTGAGTATCATAGGATAACAAAATTGAAGGAAAGAAAATGACTGCTGTCAACCCAATGAATTGCCATAGGAACAATGGTAAGAGCAACAAATAAGAAATGGTTAATTTTACAAAGATGGTAGCTATAAAAATTTAATACCTGCCCCTGATTATTAATTTCAATCCATCTCAGTTAATATGGCTTTCATTCTTTTCTCCAGGCTCGTCCAAAAATCTATGCACATATCCCTTTTCTTTTATTTTGCTCTTTATTTATATTTTGGGTATCTCATATAAGAGAAGCCCTGTGATATTTGAGCTTGTGAATCTGATTTATTTCACTCAACATTATGTACTCACAGTGCATCCATTTTCCCAAAAATGACTCAAATTTATCCTTCTTTATGGCAGAGGGGTAATTCACTGTGCATAAATACCAAATTTCTTTATCCAGTCATCTGTTCATGAATATATGGACCACTTCCAAGATTTATCTATTATGAATTATGATGCTGTAAACATGGGTATGCACGTATTACTGTAATATGACATCTTTAACTCTTTTGGGAAGATACCTCGGAAAGGAATAACTGGGTCCAATGGACAGAAATTCCACTTTTGGATATACACACTTCAGAAATTCTTACATGTGCAAGAAATATTTTGCATTGTTTTATTATAAGAAAATCTGTAAAAAACATATCCACCAGACTGTATAAACTGTGGTATATTCAGATGATTCCATATACACAATAAACAATGTTGCTTAATTAATATTTTTAATGTCTTATAAATGCAAATTAATAATAAATATGAAATTCAGGACAGTGGTTACCTCTGGAAAGGAAGAAGATACAGTTGACGAAGTCATACAAAGGGCTTCTAAAGCATTCATAATACTGTTTTTTAAAGAAGGTCATTGAGGAATACATAAGAATCTTGTCTTTAGAATGTCTTTCACTTAGGAAGTAATTATTTTAAAAGGAAAAATATCTGGACAAAAATATATCAAATTATTATTGCCGACTGAGGAGATAAAAGTATTGGTGGTTTTTATTTTCTATGTTATATGGTATTACAAACTTTGCATTTTTTTTTAGATAAGGGAGAAAAAAATAACTTTATTTTAGGTTGCTTTGTAGAACGAACTTCAGCAAAACCCGAAACACTTTTCTTCTAAAACATACCAGAAAACCCTTTAGATACCTTAAAGTTGTAATTAAGTATGCAGTATTACCAATAATCACACATACACACCACACACACAAAAGAGAGGTCAGTGAAAGGAACCCAGTCCACTGCCAGGTGCTCTGGGTTACAAGCTCCTCAATCAAGTAAGTATAATCTTTATTTTGCCTTGGCGGCCTATAAATCCAGAGAGAAGATGTAAACATACATACACTAGACTAAACAGAGGCTAAAAAGTGGCCACTACTTACCCTCCCACTCACACATACCATGTAAGCCTGTGGGAAAAAACTTACAACTAAACTAAGGAACTCAAGTAAAGTTTTCTGAAAATAACCCAGAGCTGACAAGCCAGGAGGAGGGCCTGGATGGTTTCAAGACACAGTTTTTAACCAAGACTTGGACCTCCAACTGTTTTCTTAAACAAAGATTTACATCCCATCCTTGGCTAAATTACTTCTAAATTAATCAAATTAATTACTCTGAGTGGATAAGCAGGAGGCTGGACAAGATAGTGCTGATGTCAGCTGATGAAGCCTGTGCTGTTTTAACCAAATACATCAGCTTCGTTTTAAACAGATCTACTGTGCACAAATATGGTAAAGGACCCACGTCCTACCCACAATCTCAGTTCTGTTTTCTGTCTTGGGAACAAACATACCTAGTTTTATATCTGACATAAAAATGTTAAATTTTCTACAACAAATTCATATTTTAGAACAATGATTCAGTTACTTAAAATGGTAGCCTTTATCTGCTTACATAAATATATTCTAAATGTTTTTAGGTAAATATGTAAGAATGCTATTTTGGCCATAAGGACTAAAGCAGACAATCTTAACTCAGGTATCTGTAGACCAATTTAATTATTTTGGTTTTAAAATATTTCTGTAGCACCTTTTCACAAAGAGGAGAAAAAAGGAAACTAAATTGGCCCATAAATGTCTAAGAAGTAGATCTTTTAACTATGGCCCAAGATACCAAACTTAGAATGTAAGGGTATCATTTCCTTGTTTTCTAAACCAGGACTCCTTTTATGTTATCCTTATTTATATTTTACAGTTGTTGCTGTCCCAGTCACAAGAAAAAAGCTTTACAAAGCTTATAATTTTTATGGTTGTGAATCAGAAGGAAAGTTTTTTTCCCAAATAATTAGAAGGTTATGATATTTTAATTCACAAATTGACTATACTAGGTCACCTTTGAGTAATGGAAATCTGTTTAAACATTCTTTTGGCAATGGGCATCAAGCATTAGGTCTTATTTCCAAGCTTTACCAGCTGGGTTTTGTCATTAACATTTATTAACAATCTAAGATATGGCTTTCACCATCTAATCCGTACTACATGAATGTTTTGTATGGGCCTCCAGAGGATTTTGATGTGATAAATTACTGGCAGAGATTATAGCCCCGTGGCTATTCACCAGAGGCAATATAAAATTAACATGGTCCTAATCCAATTTAAACAAGAAGTTGTGCAAACAATCCTCTGAACAAAACCAGATAGACAATTCCAATCTCATATTCAAACACAATGTGTTTTTAATAAAAAGTTTTAAAAGAAAGTTTTTTAAAGTAATTGTCACATATAAGAAACGTCAATTTGATCTAGTTTTAATTTTAATCTTCCAAAAACAGTGGCAAAGCAAAATTCACTATAGCAATCCCAAGAATCTATTACTTTTCTTTTTAATTTGTTGCATCTCAATGAGGTCTGCAGAGCATCAGTGATTCCTAGTGATTTCAACATTTGTTTAGAGTGTTTCTAAAGCAGAAAGTTTGTGGGATAAGGAATAAAATTGGTCGACAATGAGAAGCAATGAACAACAGTGCCCTCAAAGGCTGAAACTCTTACTTTCATTTTTTTTATGGAGTGTAAGTTTTGGAGAACCACTACTTTAACAGTTTTATTTCTGAACTTTTGTGACATCCTCTCTTACTAGGAACAAATAACTAAAATTAATTTGTCAATGGCTTGTGGGCTAGAGGGTAAAAAATACATAGGAGGAAAAAAATGATTAACTGGAAAGATCCCATAGGTAGAAAAAAGGTATGAGGATACATGTGCTAGGAAGTCCCTGGGGGAGAGCCTTCCATACTGAATCTCCTGTTTAAATAGACCACCTCAGTGTCCCAGGGTAACACCACAAAGAGAGATGAATTTAAGTCATCCTTCTTGTGAAGGAGGTGAACTTCACATAGTTTCACAATAGTGAAGAAACTAAAAAAGAATACAATCTACAATATACACATATGAAAACATGACATACCATTTAAAGTAAAAAGGAATGTTAATTATAATGAAACTATGTTTCAATAATTATTAATGATTACTTATTTCTCCCCCCAAAATACTTTATTCAACAGCTAACACCATTCCATCTTTTCAACTAATTTTGTTAATGCCTCATGACTAATCACCATTGTATTAGTTTCTTTTTCACTACTCAGCTTCAGTAGCAAACTTTATCTTTCACACTTTCTCCATCCACTTTCTATTTTAAAACTTAAAAGGATTTGCAATCTAACATTTTTATTTGAAATATTTTATCTTTGAGATACTCTCTTTCAGCTTTGGGTGGTAAATGAACTTGAAGCTCATGGGAAATAACTGCTATATCTGTATTATCTACCACCGTGCAAGGTTCACAGTAGGTTCTCCATAAGCATTTGTTGAATGAGTAAATGAACACAAATGAACTACCTATTGATGTTCTTCCGACTCAATGCATTCACATTCCTTTATACTCAGATTTCAGAAGTTCACCTATTGACACTTGCATATCTGCACATTTAGTCCTTGTTTTATTCTTCTGTACTGTTTCTATAAAACATGTTAAAACTACCATTTAAACAGCTACTCAGTGACAAAGTCTCTAATATTTGTTCTATTCATCAATACTTAAAGGCTACCATCTAACATGGTCCTCATGGACTAAAAGCAACAGTACTATATAACAGTTTATCATCTCCTTTTAACAACAGCTATTACGTTACCAAACACTGTAATAAATACTTTATAGACTACTTATTTAACTTTAGAACAACTTGTGAAGAAAAAGTTCTCATCAAACAAATAAGAAGACTAAAAGGAGAAATTCAATTACCAAATACATAGTGATAGAGATAGAGCCAAGATTCAACCCAGCTGTCTTGACTCTAGGGCCATGTTTTTAACTACTGCCTATGCTGCTTCTGATAAAGTTTGTATCCTGTTACTTTAACAGCTTGTTCTCATCACATTATTTCCTTGCTCCCAATTCCATAAGGACTATTCTGATTATACTAAATATCTTGCCATCAGGACTTTGTATTAAGCCCTTTCCCCCTTAAAGTCATTTCTATTCTCATTATCAGAGCTGGCCTAACACTCAATACCATTTTCCTTGCTAAGATATGCCAACAGCTCATGACTACTTTCACTGAATACTCTTGTCAGAAACCCGTCTTCCATCCCTCATTTCTTTCCACGGGAAATTCTTTCATTCCATGACTTCTATGCACTAAAACCATAATATTATGAAAGGGGAAGAGATTGGACTCAGTCAAATGACTTCAGTTCTAGTTCAATCACTTAGTACCTGTATGATGCAATTTAACTCCAAGTCAGCTTCTTCATTTATAAAAGAGGAATAATATTACTTGTATATCAGGACATTAGTTAGGATTAAATGAAAACATCTGAAGGGCTTATTTAGCACAGGGCATCAAGCCCTCATCATTATCAGCATAATTATAATGATCTTCACTCTTTTTCTCTAGTTACTATTTTCTTCACTAGCTTTCCTTCCTCCTCAAACATAAGAATTTCACGTTCTATCTGGTACAGCTTCAAATACTGTATTATCTCTGCAAAGGACTCTGTGTCTCCTTCGGCTCAATCATACTCCCAACAACAGATTCATACTTCTTACAGTGTGTGGAATTTCTTGGTAAAAATCAAGATGTTCACAACTGCAAACCTTATCTCCTTCCCACACTCCAATTAGCTTCTCTGTATTAACTGTTTTTCCAAAATGGAAACTCTCTGCAGACACTATGGTTGAGCCTTTGGCATCATCTTTGACAAGAATCCAAGCTAAGAAAGAAGGCCCATGCCTCACTTAAATCTGTACATCCAGGACACTGCCTTGAGTACAGGCCCTTAGTACTACTATATATAATGCCCATCCTTAGTCTGTGAGCACTGAAAGGACATGCTGAACAACTCTAATCTGGAAATCTAAAATGCTCCAAAGTCTGAAACATGAAGCACTGACATGATGCTATAAGTAGGAAATTTGATATGTGACCTCATGATAAGCTATGGTCAGAACATGACACACTAAACATATTGTAAAAAATTATATTCAGGTTATACATATGTGTGAATGAATTGTGTGTTTACACTTGAGTCTATTCCAAAGATATCTCATTATGTATATGCAAATATTCCATAATCTGAAAAATCCTGAAACCAAAACACTTCTCGTCCCAAGCACTATGGGTAAAGAATATACAACCTGCATATTATTATTTTATATTTACTGTTAGCCACCTATCTCCATTTATAATTTAATCTCAAATTATCTATAAGCTATGTTAGGATAAACTGTCTACTACTATTTATTTATTTATTTATTTTTTTTGTACCGAGGATTGAACTTGGGACCTTGCGGTTGCAAGGCAGGCACTGGAACCACTGAGCTAAATCCCTGGCCCTGTCTACTACTTTTTAGTTTTCATGTGGTCTGGTATACTCTAAGTATGAGTATAGTACCACAAACATATTTACTAGTATATGATGGTTATTGAGATACATTAGGAAAAATACAAACCTGAAAGACACTATGTACTAAATTTCATTCAAAATAAACCGATATATTAAAGCAAATTTAGAATAAATTAACTTATTGATTCTTAAAAGTTTTAGGTCATATAAACTGATTCAAAATAAAGATTCTGCTCATATTTTCTTTGATTTTAATCATTTGAAGAGATTATGTCAAAAATATTTAACAATATTTGTTGTCTAATAGTAGGAAGGAAAAGACAAATTCAGAAAACTACTAACAAAGAGTTTAAACTCTTAAAAGTTCCCTTATGATCCATTTTTCTAATTGAATTATGCTACTCCTGGGAATAATATTTAAAATATTCTTAAATTTTAGGAAATGTTAAATGTAAATTATCCTTAAACTGCAATCTCCTCCTCCCACCTAAAGTAGTTCTAATAGAAAGATTAATACTAAGGAGAAAAGAAGTGGTTGTTTATAAGTGAAAGCAAAATAAATCAACCCCAATTTCTTCTGGAAAAAAGAATAGCTGGAATTTAAAAACAAAAAGATCTAAAAGTTTGAGTTTTTAATTATGAAAAAGAAGCATCTTGCATATAATACATCTTTTTTAAAAAAAGCACTGAGGATTCAAATGCAGACATCTGATCATAAAAGATGTTGCCAAACATTCAAACTTGTAAAGAAACAAAGTAAAAAAGACATAAAAAGAATAATGTATAAATTACATACCTGTTTAAGTCTGGCAAGTTCCTTCAGAGCGCGTCCCCATTGCTGCTTGTAATGCAGTTTAGACTTAGTTGCAGATTCCAACTTTCTTTCAAGTTCAACCTAACAGTGATTAAGATCATTTCAAGTGAAACACTATACCACTGTGTACAATCACTGAAAGATAATATATACAAAGAGTCTGGCTTAAGAAAAGAGTTTATATAGAGTAACATACGACATCATCTAAAACTGTTATATAATTTACTATAAATATTATGGCACATGAACATTTTCTTGTTTAAAATATAGTCTTATTTTTATTGCCTTACAGCCTATACTAAAAAGAACTGAATTAGTTTTAACCTCCAGACAGTTACTGTAAATGTATTTAAACATTGAGTGAAAAATACTTTTTTACAAAAAGCAGTTCTAGCTGTTAACATTCCAATTCAGCTGACACTTTACATCTTAGAAACCAAATTTTCCTTTTGGAGGCCTATAATTATGTGGAATTTTGTCTTACAACAAAGAGAGCTAGCAGAGACACTTTTGTAACTATATTTTCGCAGAACTATACGGAACCTGGAAACAGTGAAATGTTTTATCAGAAAGCACTTTACTAAGAGAGTACAAAGTCAGAAATATTTTAAGAATGTTAAACCCAAGAGTAAGAAAAATAATGTTCCTTAATAACACACATCTCACTTTTTTCCTTATTTTTCCTCAAATATATAAAGAAAAACACTATCGTGATTCAATTAAAAAACACGGTTATTTATACTTGCAGCAGGCAATCTGTTGTGCATGAACTGAAGCCAACTTGGCTATGTTTTGGAATGTACTCAGTGTTTCAAACCAAGTACCAAACAAATTCATATAGCCAACAGACAGTTTTACTATTAAGTGATAACGTAATAATCTCCTTGAGTTACAGTAAAACATTGTTACTCGGAATTGGCTGAATTTTTTTATATCAAATCTAGTTTTTCTCATACAACTCCTAAAATTTTACAGGAAAACAAATCAAAGACACTATAAAATTTTCAACTTTAGAAAACTCATATGAAAATAAAATGAAAGGAAAAGCAGACTGCCAAATTCCCTTCACAAAAGACCAGAACGTTCTCTTAGTAATATACGACTGCATCAAATCAAGATCTTTCCTGCTTTATGAATCCCTAGTGCTTGGATTTAGCTGTGTTGACATTTCACAACTAGACTCAAGCATCTTAAGTTGAATAATACTGCTGAGATTATCAGAGATAATCTCTTCCACTTATGCCTCAGAGATTTATATATATTACTTGATAATTTAACAACAGCCCATACCTCAGAAGAATAGAAAAAAACTTTTGTAGCTGTAGGATAAAGTAGAAGTCTTCAATTATAAAAAGAGACCAGGTCCGTGGGTTCTTGGAGAAGGTCTAGTATCCCAGGATGAGGCCTAATGAAGCAGCTCCACCAGGAAAAACTAACTAGGTAGATTCTATCTGTTTTGCCATACACAGTGCACATTTGCATAGTTATTCACACTAAAGCACAGGTACACTTCTACATATAATTTTATTCTTAACAAATAAACCTGTAGATAGCAAATTTGAGACACAAACCTCATTTTTCTAACTATTCCTATCACAACCTCAGTGATCCCAACTTTTATTATGTTTTTTTAAAGGATAAACATGCTTCTGTGATTCTAAAGAAATATATAGACCCACTTCCCAGAAAAATGCACCAAATGAAAATTTTGATACAGTTTTAGGACATTTAAAAACCCTGAGGTAAAAGCCCTTATTGTAAGCAGATTTGAGACTTCTGGAAACCTCTGCACTTGTGTTTTTATTTAAGGTGTCCTTGGTCCATGACTAAAGTAATGTACTACCATAAGACAAGTTCTACACTCCTGAAAAGGAAACTCAGCTCAGGACCCAGAATCAAGAAGACTAAAAACACAGATTAGCACTCACTGGTATCTTTGTCAACTTCCTATCCCAGGTCCAATCCGTCACAGGGAACTACAGATTTCTCCCTCGAAATATTTTCAAATTTTATTCATTTATATTCCTATTGCCACTTCCTCAGCTCATCCTCTTGTGCTCATAAGCAGGTCTTGAGTATAAACAGCTTTCTTCTCCGTCCAGCCTCAGATCTATCTACAAATCCTGCAAACTAGTATTAAATCAATTTGCTCTCTACTAAATAATCTGTAGCTACAATACTAAATCTCCACTCTTCTGCCTAGGAGTCAATGCATTCCTCCAACACAGTTTCCATACTACTTGCTCAACTTCCATTTTTAGTCTTCCTCAACAGGAAATCCACTACTCCAACCAGGTTTGTGTCCCCATTCCCTAATTCATCCTTACCCAAATTACTTCCTGAGCCTGCGAATTCTTTTTCTTCTCTGCTTACCTAAATCTTAAGGCTCAGCTCAAATTTACCTGGACATGAGGTGTCTTAAACTACTAGATCCTGAACACCAAATGGTTTCTCCTCATTGCAAAGAGTTTCCTTCACATTCCTTTGTATCTAATTATTCAGTCATTCACTACTCTGAGTTATCTTCCTAATTACATAACAAATTATAGTACTTAAAAGAAGTCCCAAAAGGCTACTATACTTTTACTCTTTCCTCCTATCTTTCCCTAAGAGTAGATATGAAATGTTCTTAAATACACTACATAAATTTAAGCTTGATTAAAAAAAACTCTGGATTCTTTCAATATGTTTTCTGTCTTTTCAACCTCTGTATGCCCTACTAAATTATATGCTTTTATTTTTTTTAAAGTCTCAATTTTCAAACTACATAAAGAACATTCCTATATAAAGGAAAATCACAAACTATTTACTACCAACTTCTTATATAATACAAGGAATTGAGAATTATATTCCATAAAACTGAATCTTAATATTATTTTTAGACCGTTTACTGAAAATAGGAATGTTCGTGTTATACTGAAAATAGATAATCAGAAAAGAAAAAAAGCTCTCAATTAGATATAAATAACCAAAACTTTCAGAGCAGCTCAGGTACTTTTTCACTTATGTCTTCTTTTTGTGCTTTTACCTCTTTGTTACTATTGAAAGAAATAAGATTCTGCCCTCTTCTGGCTCCAAAAAGATTTATAAAGAATTTTAAGAAGAGCTGAAAGGCTTTGTTTTACAAGGTACTTAAATAGTTAAGTACTTCTGTTAGCTAGGTCAGAAAATTCATATTTACAAACAGAAATACTTTAATACTTGATTTTATCAAAAGACAGTTGGGAAAAGTTGAACTGGAATCAAGTTCACTGGCAGAAAAATGAAGAGATGGCCAAAAATGAATAAATGAAGAGACTCCCCAAATATGTAAGAAACAGAATCATTAAGTGTTGCAATTAAATGAGTATGGGAGTAAGAAGACCCATAGACAGCCTGGCACCTGACAAGCTGAGAAACATTTATGAGGCTCAGCAGCACTTGAGGGGAACAACTTTTAGGGGAGGTGACCCAGTTTAGCCCTGGACATGCTAGGGTATCTTGAAGACCAGAGTTTTGATCTTAAATGGTCCAGGAGATCAGAGCTACTTCCATTATAATGCTAAGACAGTATCTGTCTTCTTTACTTTCATTCTTTTATGAATGTACAGTGGAGTTTTCCAGAGGCTACATATGTGATATCACAATGGACTGAATATAAAACCAGATATAAGAGGGTTGGGGATTTAGCAAAGTGGCACCGTGCCTGCCTTGCAAGCGCAAGGTTCTGAGTTGGATCCCCGGTACCAAAAACAAACAAAAAAACCAGATATAAGAATTCAGCTGTCTTCTACTATCTAGACACTAAAGAGACTACAAAAAGGTCAAATGATAATACGTCCTACAATTTTTTTTTGTTTTAGAAAATGGTTATTCTTAATAAAAATGTCATTTATGTTGTTATGTTTATTATTTTAAATGAATATTTTAAAACATTCTGGTTTTGACTTTTAATACAGTGGTAAATCAATAGATACAAAGTGCTTTGGAGTTCTCAATAATTTTTAATTAGATATCCATCATTAGAAAAACACACTATCTTTTTCTTAAGATATTGGATATATAAAGTACAAAAAGTTAGAGAAATGTTCTAAGGCATTCAAGAAAATTTCATGAGTAGGCAACTGATTATATAGGCCTTTAGCTAAAGAGTCAGGTCTTGTACTCTTCATTTTCGACACACTAGTCGAATTTTTTTAAAATGTAAAGATTGAGTTGCTCTCCTACTTAAAATGCTTTAATGGTATCACACTATTTATTTAAATTTTATGTTTGTAAGAAAAAGGTAAATGTTAAGGAAAATGGACAATATCCCAGGTTCTGCATTAAGCATTTTACAACTATAAACTCATTTGATTCCTTTATCAATCTTATTAATCCCACTTCAGAGATATGGAAATGAATACAGAGAAGTAAATGAACCTACCCAAGGTGGCATGGTAAGTGGCAGAGCCAGAATCTGAACCAGTCATTGCCTCCATGTTGATGCTGTTAACTATTATGCACAACTCTTATTCGACTTAAAACAAAACCTAAACTCCTTGCCATGAATTTAAAGGTCCATATTTTAAACCTCATCTACTATATTCTACCATCACACTTTAAAGCTGGCCTTCTTCCTCAAAGAATCAGGGCTTAAGTCTCACCACAATGCCTTTGCTCCCCAACACACTTGCCAAACTCTATGTCACTGGTTCCTCTTCTTTTTTTTTTTTTGGTACCGGGGATCTAACTCAGGACCTTGAGCTTCCGAGGCAGGTGGCAGAATCACTGAGCTAAATCCCTGGCCCCTCTCTTCTTCTCAAACAAATCCCAATACATACTGTCAAACTTACCTTGCCCATTGGACATTACACACTTGTTGATGTCTAGCCCCTGCACATTCTGTTTGTGAGGGAATTTTAATATGAGACATAGGACCTGACTTCCAAACACAGAAAACAAAATAGGATGGCTATCCCTTCTTCCAAACTGACAGCTAGAGTAGAGGTCTGTGATGTAAATGGGCACTCTGGTCTAGGACATCAAATCTAAAGAGTACTAAGACATAAAGAAGATTCACAACGGCTACCACAAAACTGACAGTTCAGTGGTATGACCGTAGAACCAGAAGACACAGAATCCAGGGACATGGCATCCTAACTGGGCTGTTGTGACCAAATACTGGCTGTGCCTTGCTTCTCCTGCCATAGTTTAAAACTAGTTCTTCAGCTTACTTGACAGTTTTGTGAATTCCTGTATTTCTACATGTTTGCGCTAATTAGCGTAAGCTATAACTGATAATCTAACAAATTTAAGTACTAACAATGTTCTATCACTTGAATTCTCTGACACATTCTTATTTGATATTAGAATAATGAAATATTATTAAATTGTATGATATATGTTACTTACTGACTTTATAAATTTATTAATGGGACTAGTTGCCAAGAAATTAACAGGGTACCTTTTCCAAGGTGAGAAGATTTATTTCCGATTGTAGACGGATTTCTGGTTTGTTGCTCTGCTGATCCTTGAACTGTTGGAACTCTTTTTCCAAAGTCTTATTCTTATTTTCAGCATCAAGAAGCTGTATTTTAAAAATATTTAGACATTTAAAAACAAATCTCAACAGTATCTTTTATTCTAAGGCATGTTCATATAGAACATTCAGAAAACAAAATATAATAAATAAAATGATGACCATCATAATTTTAATAGGTAAAAAAACTGAGGGTGAAAGAGCTAGTGAGCTAATCAGTAGCACAGGTAAACCTAGAATTCTGCTCTTGAGAACGGGACATCTGCAGCACCTGAGAAAAATGAATTTCGCAGCCAGAAACCGAAGCCAGAGAACCTAGATGAATCAGAACTCCTCACTGTTCCTGATGGTTGGAAGGAACCAGCTTTTTCTAAAGAGGACTCTTGGAGGAGAGCAGTTTTGCAACTTTGTTCCCTACATATAGAAAGGCCTACTTGAAAGGTGTTGGCCTTTGGTGCAGAAGGCTTTGAATGAACATCACATTAATGCAACCCTGGACCTGAATGAGGGCAGCATGACTGTTTGTACTACAAAGAAGACTTTTGATCCATACATCATCATCAGGGCCAGAGATCTAATAAAACTGTTAGCAAGAAGTGTTTCATTTGAACAGGCAGTACAAATCCTTCAGGATGATGTTGTGTGTGACATCATTAAAATAGGTTCTTTACTAAGAAATAAAGAGTCACAAAAAGAAGACAACGATTTATTGGTCCCAAAGAATCTACTCTGAAGGCATTGGAACTCTTAACAAACTGTTACATTATGGTTCAGGGAAACACAGTTTCAGCCACTGGACCTTTTAGTGGCTTAAAAGAGGTTTGAAAAGTAGTTCTAGATACCATGAAGAATATTCACCCAATTTATAATATCAAAACCTTAATGATTAAACGAGAGTTAGCAAAAGATTCTGAATTTATGATCACAAAGTTGGGAAAGATTTTTGCCACAGTTCAAACACAAAAATGTGAATAAACGCAAAGAACCAAAGAAGAAAACTGTAAGAAAGAGTATACACCATTCCCACCACCACAGCCAGAAAGTCAGGTTGACAAAGAATTGGCTAATGGTGAACACTTTTTGAAGGAAAATCAGAAGAAGCAACAGCAAATGGAAGCAATAAAGGCTAAACAAGCAGAAGCTCTCAGTAAGAGACAAGAGGAAAGAAATAAAGCGTTTATTCCACCTAAAGAAAAGCCACTTGCAAAACCTAAGGAAACTTCTACTGAAACTAAAACTGATGTGGCTACCATCAAGGAAAAGGTTAAGAAAGCAAAGAATAAGAAACTTGGAGCCCTTACAGCTGAAGAAGTTAAGCTTAAACTGGAAGCAGATGAAAAGAAAAAGAAGAAAAAAAAGTAACATTAAAATACCAGACTCTGAACTGTTAATTTATGAATCTACCTCCTTTTGCAAAGAGAAACAGGGCATTAGTTGTCCTATAATATTCTGATCACTTTTTTTCTGAGTTTCAGTTGTTTTGTTCACGAAATAGTACTTTTTATAAATATAAATTATTCTATTTTTCATGTGTGTTCTGAGAAATTTTGTGCTACAAAGTAGTATACATGTCGTGTATATTGTATAATCAATTCCAGGCAAGTTTTACTGACACATGATTTTAGGAATAACTTTTTATTTTTTGTTTTAGGATGTGCATGTGACTATTGTAATTATGCATTAAATCCAAAGAATGTCTGAGCTGTTGGTTATCCTTTAAATATGCTGCCCCAGCATCTAGTTTTAAGAAAAATAAATGCAAAATTTTCAGTGCTTTCTCTCTCCTTCTCTAATGAGTGAATATTTTGAGTAAGTGAATACTTCGGCTTATCCCTTCTTATCATTTTGTCTTTCATTGCAAGATTAAACAGCTCATAAGAAAAAAAAAAATAGAAATCAGATATTTTCATCTAGAGTAAGGCTCTAATGAAAGCAGTCAATATGTCGTATATTTAAAAAAGAGGTAGATTGCCTTAACTAACATTATAATTTCCTTTTAAATGGTTTAAAAGAAAAAGAGGGCATACAAATATTCTTTTCAAATCTGAGGGTTTTAAAAAATTAAATACAAGCTAGAATCATTAAGACATTTTTTCCAAAAACGCATACTGATATGACTGTCCATCATTAGGTAAACCAATTATTTTTTTCCTAAGATTTAAGATTTAACTAAAGTTGAAATACTCAGAAAACCTGTGGCAAATGGAATTGAAATCATCACTGACAAAAAAATTTCTAATCAGGATGTATCTAGTTTCTTTAGGTAATGAGCTGCTCTGTGCATGAAACGTTTCCATACAAATGAAGTTTACTTCTTTTAATATTCAAAGTTGAATAAAAACCATTCTGAAGTCATTTACTTTTCTGTTTTAAATAAAAAGCATAATAAACTTAATATCGTATTTGGTAGTTTCAGGTACATTACTATGAACAATTACTTAACAATCAGGTTGTAAACCAGCAAGCTACCAAGGCACATAGGTTCATTTTCCTTTACTAACCGGTTCATAAACTACAGTAATTTTGAAGTATTATACCTAAACTTTTCTCTTTTTGAATACAGATACACAGATACTTTATCTTCATCTGGTATGGCTGACAACACTTAATTGTTTCTTCTGCTGGTCTAGTTAAATGATTATATATATAATACATATAACTTGGAATAATGGCCTCAGAAGATTTCCTATACATAAAAAAGTGAAATGTTGTTATGGTTTACATCTAAAATGTCTTCTAAAGTTTCATATGTTTGGAAGGTAACTGGATTATGGGGGTACTATACTCTGGTGGATGCATCTATTGATCAGTTTAGTAGCTGAATGTACTATCTGAAGATGGAGCCTGGTTGGAAATGGGTCACATGACCTGGAAGGTTGTATTCTTGTCCCCAGCTACTCCTCCCCTCTCTCTCTGCTTCCCGGCAATCATAAATGACCAGCTTTGCTCTACCAGGCCATTTTACCACGCTGTTTCTGCTGTGGAGCAGCCCTCCTACAGACTGAATCCTCTGAAACTGTGAGCCAAAATACATCTCTCCTTCAAGTTGTGAGCATTAGTTATTTTGTCCCAGGAATGTGAAAGCTGGCTAATACAGAAATTGGCACCACAGAAGTAAGGGTGCTGCTGTGACTATATCTGACCATATGGTTCAAAAGCTTTTGGAACTGGTTTGTGAAAAGAGTTTGGCAAGCCTTGGAGATGTCAACTAGAGATTTAGAATGCTTGTAAGCCAAGCCTGATAGGTGATTCTGGTTGGAGCTTCGCAAACCAGAAGGCTAATAGGAATATGAACAATAAAGGCCATGCTTAGGAGGTTTCAGTTGGGAACAAGGACTCTGACAGCTGGACTAGAAGTCACATATGTTACACTGACAGAAAATTTGTCTTCATTTTGCCTATGTCCTGAGACTGGGAGACTGAGATGAAGGGTGGTAGGCTAATTGATCTAGTGGATAAAATTTAAAAGCAAACCAATGTTTGGGCTGTGGCATGGGTATTGCTGGCCACTTTTAGTCAGGTCTACAGTGAAAATCAGGAGAAAAAAAAATTGAGTTGAATAATATGATAAATTTGCAGCTTCGTCAGAAAAGAAGCACCTGCAAAGTTGAGGCCATGGAGAATATGGTGGCTGAAAAGATTAGCATTAAAAATAAGCCAAGTACTTTGCAGTGGGACAACAGGAAAGATGGCTTGAAGTCATCTTAGGAATCAGCAAGATCCCATCTATCACAGGCTCAAAGGTGCAAAAGCTAAAGACTGAATTAAGAGAGGCCGAGGGAGTCTAGCTCATTTGGTGCCACTTACAAAAGTGTTTCCCAGAGTTTAGCCAGGGATTTATGCACTCAGAGGCCTCTGCAGCCATGGTATTGCTCCCCTGGGAGCAGACCTTGGCATCATCCATGTGCTGCTAGTTTTTTAAGGAATACAGAATATAAGAGTTATGAGGTCACAGAGGCTTCCACCAATATTTCAAAGGCCTGGGGGACTAAACAGCATGCCCAAGTGGGCAACACATGCAATTGTGAAAGCAAAGCTAAAACTGCATTCCCAGCAAGTTGGATGTGCCAGGAATATAGAATATTTGCTAAAGAAAGCTGCAGGCAGTGAGGCCAGGGCCAGCCTGGGAGATAGGCCATGGAGGTTGCTACTGGCAATGCTGCAGGGGTGGGGACAACCAAGCCTTTTGGACCTTGTATCTCACCACAACCTGCTCTGAGTACTGCACACATAGCTATAGGATTTAAAGTTTAGCTTGCTGGGTTTTGGTCTGATTCTTTTCTATCCCCTCATTTCTCCCTTTGGGAATGGGAACATTTACTCTATACATTGGAAGTATTTAATTTTCTTTTTGATTTTTACCAGGGCTCACAGCTAAGAGTTTGCCTTCAGTTAGACTTTGGACTTGGACTGTGAAGGATGTTGGCATATCAGAGATGGACTAAAATGCATTTTGCATACCAAAATGAATGTCAGCCTTTTGAGTGTCAAGGGCAGAACGTTACAATTTAGATCTAAAATTTCCCCCCAATGTCTCGTGTTTGGAAAGTGACTAGCCCACAGGGGTTTTATACTTTCATCAGGGGTCTTAGGAGGTAGCGCCTGGTTGGAGGTAGGTCACTGTGGGTGTGACCTGGATGTGTGTATTCTTGTTCCAGCTCTCTGTTTCCTTAATGCCATGATGTGAGCAGCCTTCCTCTGCCATGCCCTTTTATCATGCAGTTCCCATCTTGGAGAGTGCCAACCACGAACTGAATCAACAGAACCCACTGACACCGTAAGCCGAAATAAACTGACCTCTCCTCCTTTAGGTTGAATGTGTTGGTATTTTATCTCAGTGACAGAAAATCTGAAAATTATAAATCTGTACAGTCATGGACGTAGTAATCTGGGCATTCTGGAAATTTCTTGCTTCCCAATTGGTCTTAGAACATTGGTAAAAGATGAGAGGTATGTCCTGGGTAATTTTTTAAAAACTACCAGTTCATCCTACAGTTCGTCCTCTTCTTACAAAAAGTATCTCTGGTGATTCTAATACATATTAAAAGCCTTTGTTCTAGGTGGTTAGATATTCCTGATAAGTAGGAGAAGAGAAGAATTACCAGTGAATACATGACAACTGCCCACTTTTACAACTTTCTAATATTTTTTTTTTATTGGTACCGGGGATCAAACTCGGGTCCTTGTGCTTGTGAGGCAGGCGGCGGAACAACTGAGCTAAATCCCCGGCCCCTTTTTAAATGAGAACCCCACAGTAACAATCAAATTTATCTTTAAAACCACGTAAATAATCTAACTGTTACTGACCCTGAGCTGCTATGGAAATTGTTTTTCATGATAGAATGTACTAAGGACTTTAAAGGCATTCATCATTATATCTAATCTACACTGAAATTTTTCAAGAAAGATAAGCTTAATTTTTAATAGCTTAATTTTTCCCCTGCAAATATTTATTGTATCTTTATCATTGTTGACAACTGGGTTGGGCTCCAGGATTATAGCTATAAGCCAAAATGGTTTTCTATGAAACAAACAATCTGACACTGATTAAATTATCATGCTAAAGAAAATAAAAACTGATAGAGGATAAAGAAAAAGAATAAGAAAGTAATTATTCCATGAGAATATATAACAAAAACTTGACCTAAACTTGTGAGCAGGGGTCAGGAATGATTTCTTGGGGTAAATGATGCTTTAGCTGAAAACTAAAAGTCAACAGTGTTCAAAGGGCCCAGAAAAACAGCACACATGAAGATCATGTAAGGGAATTGAGCACAGCAGGTTAGAAGACAGAAGACCAATGTAGCTGCAAGAGTACACAGCAGGTATGAAAGAATGGGAGATAAGTTGGAGAGACAGGGTGGGTTCAAATTATGCAGAGGACTGTGGAGAGTAAGGACACAATAAAAGGTTTCAAAGAAGAGGATGTGATAATTTACAAATTTCAAAAGTATTCTGGATGCAACATGAGATTAGATGGTCCCATCACTGAAATTACAAACACAGAAAGACTGGGTATGGATGAGAAAACCATCTAAAATGCCTTTAGGACATCCAAATAGAAATGTCAAAAAAGCAATCTTGTATATGGGACTAGAGGCAAAACAAAGGTCTTAAATATAAATGTAAAAGTCTCAGACACACAGATTATCTTTCAAAGTATGGACATAGAAAAGATTATTTAGTAGAAAGTACGTTCTGAGCTTGCAGGAAGGCCAACATTTATTTAATGGCTAAAGTAAGATAAGTCTGCAAAAGAAAGTGAAGGGTGGCTAGAAAGATGGAAGAAAACAAGGAGAGTGATGGCACACAAGTTGAGAAAAGACTAAAACAATAATGTTGACATTGTCAATAAATTTTAGTAAGATGAGAAATGAAAAATGTTCACTGAACTTGGTGACTCAGCCATTTGTGGTGTCTCTAACAACTGCCTAACTGGAGCAGGAGAAACATAAAGCAGAGTGGAATGGGTTAAGAGGTGACTATGAGGTAAGGAAATGGACAATTCTCTCAAGCATTATAGTGCCTAGCTGAATTTGGCCCAGTGTTACATAATTATCTATATGTGCTAAAAGGAGATCTATCAGAAAAACATTTTACACTGTAAGTCACCTGAAATAATTCATTCAAATAGTAATATGGGAAATAAAATTATTCTAACACAGCCTTAGCTTTAACTCAGAAAAACAAGATCCAACTTGAAAGTAAATTTGAATCTCAGTGCAATAAATATGATAATCCAAATCATAGTGAATTTTATCACTTTTTAGTGACCCTTTGTAGAATACAAATAGGCTGTAAGAATAAGAAGATGACGACCTGCTTCTGAAGTCGGTGTTTATCTTCTTCCAGCTGCCTGATTTTTAATCTTTCCAGCTCTACTTGGTGAACACAGTCTTCTCTGACCCGACGGACAGAGTCCTGAAGCTCCTTCAGGTTCTGTTCACGTTCTGATTGCAATTCCTTTTTCTCTCTTTGAAGCTTAAAGAAAAACATCTTTAAGAATCTGGCTTATAACTAGCTGCATTATACTGCTGAATGGTGTCTTATCCTTATTTTCTGTCAAATATTCAGAATATTTACAAATTTCACATCCCTTTTAGTTATGATAATGTTTAAGTAATTGATTTTACAGTTTTCAATTATCACTTAATAAGAATATAAAAATCCATGTATAATTTGGATAAATTCAGTTGAAAACACCCTAATCATTTAAATTTCTCATTTAAATACAGTCCTTTTTTATTATAAAAACAAATGCACCTGAGTTTCTTTTCTTCTGTTAGAGACTTCTGATTCTCTGCCTAAGTGATTAGCAGATGTATTTAGGTCTACACACCTAAATCATTTAGAAATCCTAGAAACTGTAATGTTAAGGTTAGGGTGATCTACTGAGAAAATTTTCAGAAACATTGTGGTTAGACAAGTGACATTTAAATTTTAAAATTCTAGTTATTTTAAAATGAACATTATGGAAAGGTTTTAGGGTAGCATTTAGTTAAGACCCATCAAAATGTTAAGTAGGCGTAATACTAACATAAGGCATCATACTTTCTTGTGATCTCATCTTTATTGGGCAAGAAAGAGAGAAATTCTCTCTGAAAAAAAAATTAGGATTGTATGCCCCTGCATCTATGTTCTATTTTCTCTAGGCAGTGTAACCAACTACTCTCTCCATATAATGGGAAAGTTAACTAAAAACTTCCACTATTATAAAAGTCAGCCAAAGTTAGCTAAATGACAGTTAACTATTTCAAATAATAAACACTTTTCCATCTACCCCTAACATAGGAAACATGCTTTATCTAGTTAATAGCAGTTTTTTCTACAGTGTTTGAAAAATAATTCCATGGAATATGCTATATTAAGTAAGGAGCAAAAATAAATAAATGGTATGAACTTTATAGACTCTGTGTAATAATGATATGATAGATGAATGAGGTACCTCTGATTCTGTACTGGCAAGCTGCTGCTCTCGTTTCTCTAAGTCAATTAAAGTTTTTTGGAGTTTTCCTTCCAGAATGTTATATTCAGCCACCTAAATATAATAAAAAAGGTATTTTATATTCTCCTCATATTAAAAATATACATATTTAAAATATATATTTCACTGAAATAGGATCTGAGAATAGGAAAGGGTCAATTTACATTCACCAATTTAAAAGCAGAATTCCCACTGTTCCTTTACAAAGAAGTCTATCACACTTCTATTTGGACATCTCTTAGTGTAGTTTCCCAAGGAAATTCTCCTACTGGGCAATCAGTTTGGTAGCAAAATCTTGGGCTGAATTAAAACCTAGACCTTTAAAATCTTCCAGTATCTCTCTGAACCTCTCAGTCACTTATACTCTCTCATTTTAGAACTAATCCAGTTGCTAGATCAACTAGTCAGTTACAAATCAATTCTTGTTGACTTGCGTGTTCCCTCAAAGCCTCATGTGGTCATAGGTGGGGCTTTTTAGAGATGGCTGGCTCTAGAGTGTGTGATGCTAGGATTAAGGGTATGTGATTACTAAATTAGTCCACTGATTGTGGGCTGTTCTGAGTATAGACAATAGGAAGGCCCACCCTGGGTGTGAGTGCTACTTGCCCTAAGGGCATGCACCCTAGATAGAATGTAAAGGACAGAAAGAGCTTATGCCATTGCTTGCTGTTTACTGTATTCTGCCTGCCATGAACTGTTTCTCCTCTGTGATGCTCCTCTGCCATGCCACCCAGTCTTGGAGTCTGCCAACTATGAACTGAAACCTCTATAAACTGTGAGCCAAATAAACCTTTCCTCCTTTAAGTCAGGTATTTTGTCTCAGCAATGAGAAAAAGTAACTAAGACAGTTTTCCTATTATTTCTGATCTGATATTTTACTATATTAAAGTAACTAGATTCCTGATCTAACTTCTAGTCTACTACTCTGATTTCTCTAGGCCTGAAGTCTCTCTTTAAGAACAGGAGGCCTACGGCCAGGGATTTAGCTCAGGGGTTCTGCCACCTGCCTCGCAAGCACAAGGACCTGAGTTCGATCCCTGGTACCAAAAAAAAAGAACAGGAGCCCTATTCAGAATAAGAAGCCTACCTGTTCAGTTTATGGAGGATGCAGGACTTTTTTGGTTTTCTATCTTTCCATTCATACTAATATTATTTTACTAGGACTTTCTCAACCAATTTTTTTTTTTTCTTTTGCCTTCATTACCAAGTAGTTTCCAGGTCCCAGATCCCCATCTCGATCTTATCTTTCATACTGTCAGAAGATCCCTGGTTTAATGCTCCTTAGAAACTGATACTTTAATCTTATTTCTGCCCTGGGACAGAGGAAATACATCCTCCCATATCTCAGACTGGTGATGACCGTCACATCTCTTTCTGTTTCTCCTTTAAGACGAACACACACTGCAGTCTAATTCATAGGTTATGATTTACATATTCTCTAATCTAGGTTCTTCACTAAGTCCTTTCAAAAATATGATACACAGATGTGACCTCACAAATTTGAGACAAAAGTCTGTGTACTTCCAAAGTCTAGGATAACCCATGTCTAATAACACAGTCTAAAACTGTCTTTCCTAATTGAAGATCAAGCTACACTGCTAATGTTAAAAAACAATTCCCAGAAGTTTTTAAACCTGGCATAACTATGCCCAATGTCCAAATAATCATTTCAAGGGGCTGGGGATTTCGCTCAGTGGTGCCGCTGCCTCACAAGCGCGAGGTTCTGAGTTCAATCCTGGAATGAAAAAACTCCAAAAAACAAAAAAACAAACAATCATTTCAATGTAACTGCAGAATCTGATACCTTAATTTTGATGATTTAGGCCTAGCATGCCACTCATTCAGGACTATTCTATATTACTTTTGTTAACTATACCATCTAGTTTTGGTTCATCTAAATCTATACTCAGCATACCCTTTACTATTAATCAAGTCACTAATATAAACACTCAATATCTGTGTTTCCAGACATCCAGGATGCTTTCTTCTCTCAAGCAACATAATCTTTTGGGTGATCTCATTTTCCTACCATCAGATAGACTAAGAACTCCCAAATTTATATTATACAGTCAAACTCCCTCCAAAGTTTCAGGCCTCCAGATCTAAATACCTTTTGGAAATTTCCATACGGTATTCCTCATAAATCTCAAACTTAAAATTGTGTAAAAGTCTGAAATGCTAAGTTTTTAAAACAAATATTTGGGTTTTTTTGGTACCAGGGATTGAACTCAAGACAAATATTTATTGTATACCAATCATACACTGGGCAAAACCAAAGTTGTGTGGAACCTATATTCTTAGGGAAGACAGACTATAAATAAGTACATATTTAAGATAAGTCCATCCTGTGATGAAAATAATGCAGAGTGAAGGGTCAGTGCCTGCAGACAAGAGAAGGGGACACTATTTTGGTAGACAAAAAAGACTTCACTGGATTTTTCTGAGCAGATAAAAAAAAGTTTCTCTGGAGGAAGATGTTCCATAGATCCCAAGGAGGTGGTTTGAGGAATCACAAGGAGGCCAATGTGGTTGGAATGGATTGACAGATGAAGTGCGAGTGAAAGCTAGGGCACAGACCATTGAGGCTGAGGTCCTAGTAAGAACTCTAGTTTCATTCTAAATGTGATGTTCAGTAGGATGAGTTGTGAACAGAGGAGAACTGTGCATAATTTTATCTTATATTTTAAAAGCTGCACTTTCGGGCCAGTGTGGGTATAAAAAGTACTGAGGCTAGCAATAAGGAAGAGATACCAAGTTAAGAAGTACTTAGATGGGAGAGTATTATTGGACAAGAGGAAAGGGGTAAGGGGGAGGGGCCTGTAAAGAAAGCAATAGGGTGATGGATATGATCAAGCTAAGTTATATGTATGTATGAGAATCACACGGAAACTCAATATTTTGTAAAATTAATAGGCACTAATAAAAATGTTTTTTAAAAAAGTAAACAGTAATCTTAGGAGTGACCATGATAGTGATGGAGGTGCTTGAAAGTGGTTAGTTTCCAGAATACTTTCTGAATGTGAAGCCAACAGGATTTGCTAATGAACTAGATGTGAAATGGAACAGTCAAACATGACTTAGTTTGGAGCCTGAACAACTGAGTAAAAAATGTCATTTACTAAGATAGAGAGTCAACAAGGAAAAATTTAGAGAATGGAGATAAAAACTTTCATTTTAGATATGCTAAATTTAAGATCCTTATTAGACTACTAATTGGTGGTGTATGTAGGCAGCTAAGAAGCCAAGTGAAGAATCCAAATAAGTCATGGATGGAGCATACAAGTGTATGTGCCTATCTGCATATTACGTGTATAATTTTGATGTATATAATATCAGGAAGTGGATGAGATCACCACAGAAGGGAGTATATATAAAGAAAAGAAGCAATTCAAGGACTGGGCCCTAAGGCAAGCCAATAAAGCTGATTATTTAGTGGCTAGATCTAGCATGAAATTAGGAAAAACCAGTGAAAACAGTAAAATACAGTAAGAGTCTGGTCAAGAAAGTCAAGTTGATAAACTGTTTTACAAAGGAAGAGATCAAAGTGGATGAGGATTAGGGAGAATTGTCTGATAGGAGGAAAACTGTGTGAATTAAGTGTTCTGGAAAGAGAATGAACTGACTAGAGAAAGAAGTTGACTAAGGGCAGCACTGTGGACTCCTTGAGGCCCAAAGATATAAACAACCTTTACATCATCTCTTGAAAGCATTCCATCTTCTTTAATCCTATAGCTAGCTTACAGTCATTTTCATTTGTAAACACTGCTTTTTTTGGTCTCCCTGAGTTTAGTTTCAGATTCCTCTATTTCATCCACTACTCCTCCATCAGAATGACTGTTCTACAATGAAATCTGATTGCCTTATTTCTTTATATAAAAATCTTCATTTTAAAAAAAGTTTCATCTTTTTTCACAGGGTACATCATCCAAACCACAGAACGTGGAAAATGAAGTGATTATCTTCTTTGTCATCTCCTAAAATGGTACATAATTCTAGCAATCTAGATGCACGAGAGAAATTTAACTCATTACCAACAATGCCTTAGGGCAAGAGGCTTCATTCTCTCAGGAAGCCCTGACTGGAAAAGCCTACACAAAATCTAGTCAAAATTCCTCTAAATGGAATATACAGTCATTCAGTCCCTCACATGTCAACCTGGGCTACCCTATTTTTTAAGGCACACCCTGTCCTTCCCTCCTCCCACATCAAACTACAGTTTTCTTAATGGAGAGCTTATTTCAAACTTCTCTGTCTTCATTAAAAGGGCTTTCTCTCTTTGGAATGCTCTTTGGTTTACTTGGTGATAGCTACCATGTGAAAACATGATCTTATCTATGAAACACTTCTTCATGTCCCTTATATGGCCTTCCTTTGTGGGTACATGACAGCTATCTTTGGCTTTCTGACAGGCAGTCACATATAGGCCAGAACAAACATTATCTCAGCTTATGCAGAAAGCTCTTTAGGGGGAAGCAGGTGTACGTATTCTTTCAGGTAAACTTTCAAAGTGTTAAAGAAGTTAATACAGTGTTTGAAAAAGCTTCAATTGAAAAACAACAGTAATACAAATATATTAGTCATATAAATATGAGTACATAAATACAACAGTGAGATTCTCAGAGAATTTGGGTTTAAAAGATTTCATTACACTAAAAAAACTTCTTAGTGGTTTCGCCGCCTGCTGCACAAGCACAAGGACCCGAGTTCGATCCCTGGTACCAAAAAAAAAACAACAAAACTACTTGTTTTCTCCTTTTGACTCGATTTTTTAAAGACCAATCATATATGTTAACACATCCTACTTCACAATATTCTTTTTAAATTGGGTATTTAATGACAAATGAAATATTTGGTCTCAAAATGAAAAATAAGTTGGAAGAAAACGGCAAATTCAAATCTATGTTTTTCGATGACTAATTCAAATAAATAGCTCATCTACTTATCAGGCAATCATCATGATCTGTGTTCAGACTGGAGTTGCAACAGCTCATCAACACAAGTTAAAATGGTGGAATACATGGAAATCAAAGTTTTAAAATCGCGTATTAGAAATTTCATTGTCAGGGTTTGTTGTAGTCAATACAAGTTCTGTATAAGTGGATAAATACTGAACTTTTGCTTTCTGGAGTAAGATTAGATTATGTGGTCTCACATTAGCAGTTTTAAAGATGCTATTTACTTCATGATTTGATTCTAAAAATGTCTCAAAAGGTTTTGAGGTTTTTAATTAACTTACAGGCTATAATTTTCATATATACTTAAAATGTGCTATTTTCTTTTTCATAAAGTTAGGCTTTCCTAGAATATTCATTTTTAAAAATTAATATATTTTTTGAATTGGTAATGTATTTGCATATTTCAAAACTCAAAAAGTATATTAATTTCCCCTTACAGTGAAAAGCCTTTCTCCTGCCTTGACCTATCCTTTCATTTCCTCTATGGCAACTATAATTAGTTTATTCCTTCTAAACATTTTCTTTAATAGAGAACAAGATATTATCATTAATATGCTTCTTTTCTTCCCTAAATTTTACAAGTTATTACCTTTTTCTTTACTAGTGATTCTCTTTCTCGGTCCCTTTTTTTCCATTCCTCTGCCAGAGCTTGCATATGAGCCAGTTCTTTCTGCTTTAACTACAAAAGCAAGAAAAATAGTCACCTCCAAAACACTCCAAATACTTCAAATAAACACAACAGTTGTTTTCAGTTAAGGAACTAATATTGATCACTAATTTTTTTTCAGGCATTCTATTTTATTTTTTTAAAAATGGAGCTTGCTTGAGGAAAGTAACATCCATATGAGTGTAATTTGGGAGTATAAAGCTAAGGGTGAATTCTGTTTTCTAGCTCTCTTGTTTGGAGACTGATGGTGCTGGGTTCCAGGAGGATATACCAAATGATAACCTGAAATTAAAAGAATAACCTTCATTCTTAATTCTGCCCAATAATAATGGACACAATTTAGAGAAATCCTTCAAAGAGGCATCAACCAAATCATCGTATTTCAAGTAATCTTTCTATTCTCAATTTTTCTTTGTGAGTAGGGCACTGCTGTAATTCAAAGAAACTAGACAGGAACATGGAAAGAATATCCAGCTATAGAGAAGGAAATACATACTAAGAAAACATAAAACAGAGTTTTAAAGGAAAACTTAGAAAGTAACCTGATTTTCAAAAATGTCTTCTTGCATTTCCTTCCACATTTCCAGCTCAAGTGCTGCTTTGTACTCTAGTGTTTCACGAGGCTCTGTTTGGATCTCCGAAGGACAAGGAGCCGGAGGAAGAGATGATGGCTTCTGCTGCACAGCAGGTAAACCCTAAGATATGAACAGAAAAATACATTTAAAACACACTCACACACCCATACAATAGGTTCCTTTTAAGGAATAATTGGATAACATTTGATTACATTTACCTGAGATGAATCAGAGACAAAAATCTCACGCATTTTTACTAGTCCATAATCTTCTAGAGTCACAGTATAAGAAAGATCTACTATCCTGTTATTTGACCTACAAATGAAATAAGAAATACCTTCAAATTCACGGAAACATTTTTATAATATCTTTCCTTTTACTTCCGCTGTGGTCCAGTGTTGAGGAATATGCAACATTTCTTGCACCTGATACTTGCTGCTGAAATTACCGTAGCTTTCTAGGGTTCAAAACCTTCCATATACACAATTTTACTTGATCACAAATACTCTGATAAATGCATAACCTACATTTACTACACAATACCCAAGCAGCTGCATTTTTTTAAATTAAAAAGTTATAAAAGATGAAATTTAAAATCTTCCTTTCCACATGTAATATTGCTAATACTGAGTTTATTTCCTTACTCATTGTTTTACTTACATGTAGACACACATACAAGCAGGCACACTGACAGTTTTGTCTTTTTCCAATTTATATCAGAAGCATTTTCTCATAAACAATTCAAAAATGTGGATGCACACACATGCGCACGTGTGTTTGTGTGCTTTCTTTAGTGGAGGAGATCTAACACAGGGCCTCACACATGCTAGGAAAGCACTCTACTACTGAGCTTGACCTCCAACTTCAAAATATGGTTTCTCACTGCCTAGGAAATTATATTAATGAACTTATGAGTGAAAATACACTTAACAGTTCTCTACTTTTGATTATATAGGTTATTCTGACAGGTTTTTTTTGTGTACTTTTACGTAAGTATTGTCTCTGAATAACTCCTAGAAGATAACTATATATTATTTTGGGCATAACAAGCACCTCTTCATATCACAGAACTACATGTAATATTGATCATTAAATAATAAAATCAAGACAAAACATTGGAAGAACATAAATTCTTTGAAAAAGTTTTTCTAAATCAAATAATTTCAGTCAAACAAAACTTTAATAAATGGATCTCACACAATTACAGTTCTTAATTCTCAAACTTTTACATTTTATTCTCCTACTCACACAAATTCTGGAAGAAATGAATAAAATAAAATGAACCACTACTATATACACAAAAAAAAATTCCTGAGCATGTCTGAGGTTCTTATGCAGGTAAATCTCCTAAAACTTCTCTACCTACAAGGCAGGGCAATACAAGTAATATTTATAACAGGCAGCATTTAAAAAGCTTCAATTATTAATGATTTGATTATATTCTATTTATTACAGAAATTAATGATTTTAAGAGACTTTTTAGTAAGAGGAGACAAAACAAAAAAGAACTCTTTTAACCAAATGCTTGATTATCCAAGATAGCTGTTCCCATATCTTCCAAATGAATAAAATTTTAAATCTTTCAGTCTCTGCAAGTGGCTACAGATGGAGAAGACTAAGAAAAGAAATTCCATAAAACATTTAGATCTAAGACTTTTGCTGAGCCTCATTTCCTTTTAACATTCTTGCTATGTTCCAAAAACAGACAAGTGGCATATAATGTTAAACTGAATTTGAATTTTTATTAATTTTTAATGACAATATGTTGACTAGAATATATGAAAATTTCAAGTCTTTCATTATGGAAAAAATATTTATTGGTGGAATTGAGGACTGCACCAGGGCTGTGGTTATGCTAGGCAAGTACACTATAATGAAGCCTCACACCCTTCCAACCACTCCTTTTTTTTTTTTTTTTTTTGGTGATACTGGAGATCAAATCCAGGGCTTTATACATACTAGACAAGCACTTTACCACAGAGATACTCCCTAGCCCTCAATAATTTATAGCATTTTAAAACCTGCCTCTGGATGAGAATATAGCTCAGTGATAGAGTGCTCGCCTAGTAGGCTCAAGGCCCTGGGTTTGATCCCTGACACCACAAAAGAAATAAAGTAGAAATTAAAAGCTGCTTCTACTGACATTTGTAACATTCTGACTTTAGATTTCAGACAGAAGTTAAAATATTTTTCAAGGAGAAAAAGTCACAGCTGTCTTAATGCAAAATAATGTAAAATTACATTATAAATCTAACTTTAAATAAGAACATAAAACAGATCCTGAAATTAAAAACTGTCAGGCTAAAGAGAGAAAATACTTAGCAATCTTAGTAAGAATTATTGTAGCAAAGATTCTTTATGTCTGTGAAGTAAAATGGATATCAGAAAATTAAGGAGTAACCTGGAATATAGAGCCCATAGGTCAAAGAAGAAAAATCAGCAAAAAGAGGATCTGGCAGGATCAGGTTGTGAGGTTGTGGCTCTTTAACTGGAATCATTACATGAATAAAAGGCAAAGTCAAAACAAATTCTGTGAAATGCATTACCCTTGTGCTGCTATAACAGGCACACTCTCACTGTAAGTCTGACGCCAACACTGTTCACCATTAGAGCCTAAAAAGCGAGTTTTTTCTGAAGACAAGATGTTAGAAAGCTGGATTCTTGAGATCCCCAGGAGTAAATCTTTACTCATTTTGTCCTTATGCCATAATTCAACCAGCAAAGGAATCCTAAGAAAAAGAGAAATGCATGTTCTTATCTATCATCTCTGAATTAAAGTCTTTACTCACCCAAAGCTTTTTTGTCTTGTTTTGTTTTTGGGACCGGGGATTGAATTCAGGACCTTGTGAGGCAGGTGGCAGAACCACTGAGCTAAATCCCCGGCCCTCACCTAAAGTTTTTGATGCAGTCAAATGGCATTAATGTAGTCAGAGACATTTTTGTTACCTGGAAAGTCATCTATGTAAAGGCCTAATTCCATGGGGTGACAAATATGAAGTACTATTACATTTTCTATAACTCTCTCTAAGTAATAGAGAAAACCCTTTAAATAGCACTATCCCTAAAAATGGTCAGATAATTTGTAGCAATGCTTCATTCTTCCTTTAAATATATATATATATATATATATGGATTGTGATGCCTTAAGAAAGTAAAAGATTGCAGAGATCTAATTTTTTATTCAAAATCTATTTCAGATGGCTAGATTAAAACCTCCAGGGCCGGGATTTAGCTCAGTGGCACCACTTGTGGGCTCAAGGTCGTGAGTTCAATCCCCGGTACCAAAACAAACAAACACCTCCAATGTAAATGAAAAAGAGGATCAAATAACTCACTATAGCCATCAGTGAATCAATCGTCAAATGACATATTCTTAGTTATTTATCTCCTTACATTCAAAAAGGCAAGACCTCTTTGCAAAACTCACTCATTACAGATCATCTTACCAAAGTTCAAGTATCTAAAGTCAAACAAATGAGTAAGAAAAATCAGAAGAGCCTTTAATAATAAAGCACATATATCTGTAATAAAAGCAAAAATATCACAGACATTATCAGTAAATTTGTCTCCTGATTCTCAAATGCATAAACTGCTATGGATTTAAACTACATAAATTCCTTCTTTTAGTAAGATACAAATTTTTAAGAGTTAAGAAATGAAAATACACACAGTGTATACATAACCTTAAGAAGGTATCTTGCAGCTGATGAGGCAGAGTTGCAAAATCAAATGCACAATAAGACTGGGGGAGAAAAACTTCCATGTTTTTCCGAACTTCCACAGGAGGATTAGTCATAATAGGAGCTGCACTTCCAAAAAATGGATATGAATACCTAGAATTTTAAAAATACAGTCTTACAATATAGTCTACAGATGGGACTTATAGTCTGGTTTCATCCTATATCTTATTAGAACATATATAAAACTAAAATTTAAACAGTACTAATAAAAATTGCTGTTCCTAGAAAAAAAAAATCTCGTGCATTTACCCAATTCCTGCACATCCACCAAAGTCAAGTCATCTCAGAGAGAGTTCATGTCATAGAATTTCAGTCCCTACCACAGGAGTACAGGATCCAGTGATTATAATAATAACAACAGATTGACGTAAGTTCTGCAGGTTAAACTTGTTCAAAAACCAGTCTTATCTCACAAAATCTATAACACAATTTACAAATCAATTTAGAGCATCATAATCTAAAATTTACCAAGCTGAGAAAAGAATGGGCAGCAATTTTTTTAAAGTGCTTTAAATGGATCAAAGACAGACCCAGCAACTAGTGAATTCTATGTAGAATGTTAAATGGGTTGCAACTATTTCGTTCTTGTTTAGAATATTTTTTCCCTTTGCCAAGTGAACTACATTAACGAACTTGTGAATCCATCTTCCTCAGTAAGCTGAGCTGCTTATGCGGCTCATGTATCTCTAATGTCAGGCACTGTTGGAATAATGTAGGTACTTAATGATTAAAAAATGGTTCTGATGGCAAGAAGTAAACATAAAAATTTATATTAGTGTTTTCTAAGTAGGCTTATTTATGCCTTCTAATTTTGCATTCTGCCTGTGACTGTGGTCCTGGCCAACATCCTCTCCAGACATACTGAGACCAGACTCCCTAGTAACAGCAGAAGTGAGATAAGAAATGAAGGGGGAAAAGACAAACCAGAACAAATAACAATTCTAATTCTAAAATACAGAAAACAAACCCTTTGAGAAAAATTATGTGTGAGGGAGAAAATATTTTTTCAGTCTTCAGTTTCCAAATAAAAACATTTTTGTAATAAATCAGCATTTAACTGTAACTGTAGAACTTAAGCTGAAACAGGACTTTGATTCTATGAATTCATATTCATTCTTAGTGTTAGGTCCCTCTGATCCTATCCATTACTCATACCAAAGGATAGACGATTTGGAAACAAGAAGGAAACTATTGAAAATTCAGATGCAAATATGAGTTGACTTATCACGTAAAAAGCAGGTATGCCTCAAATAACAGCAGGAAACAATGTGTAGTTAATGAGATCCACAGGAGTGCCATTTCAAAACGACAAAGATTTTCTCATTTTAAGGATCACAATCCCAGATTTCAAGTTTAAAAGAACTATAGTAATAGAAATAGCCTGGTACGGGCACAAAAACAGGCACATGGATCAATGAAACAAAACAGACAAAGCAGAAACAACCCCAGGTGCATTCAACTATTTGATCTTTGACACAGGGGCCAAAAATACACAGGAAGAAAGATAGCCTCTTTAAAAACTGGTACTGGGAAAACTGGTTATCCACATGCAAAAGACTGAATTTAGATCCATATCTCTTGCTATGTACTAAACTAAAATAAAAATGGATCAAAGACATAAGCAGAAACACTTACTCAGTTACAAGATAAAGCAGGTATAACTCTTAAAGACATAGGCAATGGAAACTACCAAGAGTGAAGAGACAACCTACAGAATGGGACAAAAAAACTGTGACCTATTCCTCAGACAGAGGACTAATATCTAGAATATATAAAAATTAGACTTCCTCAAACAAAAGGCCCAATCAAAAAACAGGCAATTGAAATGAAAAGAAACTTCTCACAAGAGGTACAAATGGTTAGTAAATACATGAAAAAATATTCAACATCTTTGGCTACTAGAGAAATGCAAACTAAAACAATACTTAGATATCACCTTACTCCAGAAAGAATGGCTATCATCAAGAAATCAAATAATAACAAGTGCTCACTTGGCTGCAGGGATAAAGAAATCCTTCTACATTGCTGGTGGGGATGTAAACTAGTACAATCACTATAGAAATTAATAGAGATTCCTCAAAAAACTAAAACTAGAAATTTCTTTCAACCTAGCTATTGCCCTTCTAGGTATCTTCTCAAAACAGTTACAGACATCATATTAAAGTGATACATGCATACTGATGCTTACAGCAGCACAATTCATACTAGCTAAATCTTGGAAGCAGTCTGTAGGTCCATCAACAGATGAACGGATAAAGAAACTATGGTATCTATACACAATAGGTACTATTCTGTCATAAAGAAGGATAAATTTGTGCCATTTTTTAAAAAATTGATGCACCTTGAGACCATAATGCTAAGTGAAATAAATTAGATATACAAGTTTAAATATTGCATGGTTTCTCTTATATGAGAAATCCAAAGTATAAATAAATTAAAGAGCAAAATAAAAGATAATAAGAAAAAAGGAGATAGATTTTTTGTAAAAGGGAAGGGGACCAAAAGATGGAGAGAAGGAGGGATGGAGGGGAAGGGTGGGGGGATGAAAAAAGAACGGAGATGTATTGTGCACACGCACCAGCTCCTCATGGTAATCATTATGTACCACATCCATGTCCTCCTGAAAAAAGGCAATAAAAAGGGGTACCACTCCGTCTAGGAGATATTCTATTGTGCCAGCAACATTCTAATAAAAATATCATCCTAGTTTTAAAACAAAAGATTTTCTCACTTTAATCACAGAAAGACCAACAACTTAACTTCAAATAAAATGCTTAAAGAATTTAGCTAAATACTCCAAACACATTACTTTATTATATTTAATTTATATCTCAGTCACTAAAGTCTATAAAAATGTAACATCATTAAAAGCAAACCATTGTGTAAAGCCATTTAAGTGGTGTGTGCATGTGTGTGTATGTGTGTGTACACATAAATTTGTTTTTGACAGACTGGGATCAAACTTGCAATTCTCCTGCCAGTCTCCAGGTGTGTCACCACACCTGACCCATACATATTTATTTGTAATGAACACTGGACACATCTTATTCCAGCTCATTAAGTATGGCTTTTAGATTCACAGCTTTAAAATGCAGATACCAGGAATACAGCCTTCCACTATAATACAGGTTTATAGAGAAATTGAACACTATACACTCCCATTATTTTAACCTACAGGCTCTCTTTCCAGAAAAACAAAACAACAACAGAAACCTTTAAAGTTCAAGAGTCATTACATTTTAAATAGAAGCATCAATAAATTATTATAAATAACTACAATTATTACTCCAGAATAGAAAAGGCATTACCCAATGCCACTCTAGTTTAAATTCAAAGTCATTAGGATACAGTCTTACCCCTTAAGCCACTGACTTAACAGAAGTTATGCTTTTGGTGGCATTTCTCTCTCTGCAATTCCCTAACTAGAGGAAAGGCATTTCTCCTTAAACAAAAATCACACCTTAATATACAGTTAACCGGAAAACTAAGCTCCAAGCCATGGATACTCCTTAAATCTATTGAAAAGCAAAAGTGATGCGATGTTGCAGGAACAGCAATCTTCTGTGCTGAAGCTGTTTCTGAAGCTTTGGACGCAGCAACCGGCTGGGCCAGTGAAGCAGGTACAGAAGAACTAGTGCCTAAAATGGACATGAATTTTTGAAAAATTGTTCAGATAATTTAAAATTTCCATCTCATTTATTTTTATACAAGGAATTTGACTTTTGCGTTATGACCATATGAGCTGAGGCTAAGTATCTTAGAAATGGCTTGTCCAGATTACCTGGCCTTTAACTCTCATTCTGGAATTGTGTAAAGAGCAAGCTCACTCTCTACAAATATTGCAAAAACATGAAAACAAGATAACTGAAGCAGCAACATCTGACTGACATTTCTAAGAGTTAGCTATATACTACTAAGCATTTGAAGGGCTACACTTGCAATTTACTAAAGGGATAATTACATCACTGTTTTGTACAAAGTAGTTGTCATTATTCTAGGTATGTATGAAACAGTCCAACAAGAAGCTAAAACTTGAAGACAGAGATATTTAGTCTAACATTATTACAGACCAGAGATGTTTAGTAAGTGGCCCAAGGACACATCTACTCAGCAACAGAACCAACCCTTGTTCCCAAATCCTAACTCCAATCTACCACTACTTACTTCTACTGTGCAGTTAACTACAGACCCTTATGTAATATATGAAAAATATTATAAAACCAGATGCATGCATTCTGAAACTCTCAAGGATCTGAAATAAAAATTACTATCATTTTATCAGAAGAGGTAGTTAATAGCTCTTTTTTCTAAATTCCAGTGAATCTTTATTCAAGAGTTGAATAGTATAAAAATCTATTTGAATGAACTACATTTATTTTTTTTGGTACTGGGGATCGAACTCGGGTTCTTGCACTTATGCAGCAGGCAGCAAAACCACTGAGCTAAATCCCCGGCCCCATTTTTTAATTTCTTTCCTCAATTAGTAAACTCTATTACAAAGTTAAATAGATTACAATTACTTTAAATGGAAATGTTTTATGTCACCACACCATTACTGGTTTTTAAAAACTCCAACTTTTACTTAAAACCCATGCAAGTTTTCATAGCTGTTTTTTAACTGGATGGCTGCAACATCCAAGAGTAAAAAGATACGTGCAAAGAACATCTTACCCTTTACATGTGTTTTTAAATCTTTATCATACTGCAAGCTTTCTACCTCACTTTCTGTGGCATCGTCTTTGGCTGGTGGTGTCTGGTTGGGAGGTGCAGCTGGGGATATGCTCGGTGATTTGGGACCAGTAAGCGTCTTCTCTTTTACGGGAGATAAAACTCTCTTCTTTGAAAGCTCTGGCTCATGTCCATTCTGGGTCTTTAATTCAACTAAAGACTAAAAACAATGTTTAAATAAAGTAATAATTTAAATAAAGTACAATTTTGTTCATAATAAGCAAAACAGCTGGCTTTTATATATATATAAGCTTCCTTTCCCAGTTTGGATATTCCTAATCTATTTTTCTTCACAATCTGCAAATTTTCTTATAGCATCTAGAATTAGAAAAAGGAAGATAAACAGGAAGGAAATATAACACCCAGAGCTGAGTACCAAAATGTATCCTAATGAGTAAGAAAGAATATTTGCAAAAGTCAGGCACACATGACCCTGGGAACAGTGATTCTTCCCAAAGCAGTGCTATGCAATAATGCCTAAAGGGAAAAAAACAGGTTTTCCTTTAGTCCACTTCCCTCTAAGTAGATACATACATATATACACATTTTAAATTATTTCAGTTTTTCTATCTTTAATTCACAATCTACATATAGATCAATTCTTCAAAAGAACACAATATTAAAGCTAATTCTGCAAATATATACAATCAAAAAAAATATACATTCAAATAAACACTCGTTTCTATTGAAAAAATTGTTTAAAAAGAATATGATGACTATAAAGCTCTAATGAACTAACAATCTTCTTTTAGCTGAAGTTATGCCAACCAAAAAGATACCACTAATGCAGAGCCCCAGAGACTAGGTCTAAAAATAATTCTCTTTGCCAGAGTTGTCCTTCTGCCACAGTAAATGTGAAAATGGATTGTACTACACAAAACTACCCCAAAGGTTAAGAGGGCTCTGAGTGTAGTCACTTATGAATTATAAAGTAGAGGCTCCTGAGTTGGGAACATACCTGTAATGCCAGCAGTTGGGTGGGAGAAGACTGAGGCAGGACTACACCAAGTTTGAGGCCACCCTGGGCTGGACAGTGAATTCAAGGACAGCCTGAACTACATAGTGAGACCCTGTCTAAAAAATAAATATATAAAATAAAGTGGAAGCCACTGTACTCTTCTAAAAGGTTCATTCAGAAAGGAAGTATCATATAATGTAGACTATTAATTAAGAATAAAAATACTGATGCCAGGTAAGTCTTTGTAGGCTCAACTTTTGTTAAAATGAATGACATTAGAGCAGCTGGAGGAACAAAGAGGGGTCACTACTTGCCTGGCAGTTGATGCCTTCTCTCTGCAGAGCCACAGACACTCCCACAGTTGGGGCCAGCTCTAGAGGAACAGGTGCAAGCTTTTGTTTGGCTCGGTTTGGAGGGTCAAGGATAAAAGCACCCTCAACTGTGACCGGGTGCTGGTTGATTTCTGTACTGCCCCTTTTCAGTAGTCCATGTAATGGTATTTCTGTACTTCCAAGTGACTGGTCTCCACAGCACAGATGGATCTAATTTGAAAAGGAAAAATCAAAACGGGGCTGTCTCTGTTCTCTCCTAAACACCATAAACTTAAAAAAGTTACAAAATGATTCATAGAAGGACAGTATAGTGCAGGCTAACTCTTCCACTTGCTCCACTTGCTCAAAGTACTTCTCACACATGATTGTTAAAACCAGTGATACAACAAAATTTACTAGTCAATCAGTAATTTTCATTCCTTCTTTCAGTAATGTGTACTTATGTTATCATCCTTTTTGGTCTCTTTGCTGAGCTATGATTACTTCATTATTTCAGTATGCTACATATTACAAATGCAAACTGTATAAAAAGGGAATGTGAATTTTAAAAAATCAAACATTTTTCTATTTCCATTTTAACATTAATTTAAACATAGTTCTAAAAAAATACGTCACTGGATAAGCCTAATTTCAAATTTACCTCAAATAAGTTTATCTTATTCACCTTTAAAACACCATTAGTACTTCTTTTTCTCTTTTGCTTTTCATATGTTTATATATAAAACAGAGGGATGAACAAAAAAAGGTAGGAAAGTATATGTGGGATGAAAGGTATTGTTAATGATAACCAAACAGAAGTTCAATATTACCCACCTTTTGAAAATTAAAGGAAAAATAAAAGACTGTTCCAGCTATGTGTTATGAAACTATTCTTCCTCCTACTATACTGAAGCCTTGAAAAACAACATTCTGAAGAATGAGTCATCAATACATTTAAAAAAAATTTTGGCTCAAAAAAATTTTTTTTGGCTCAAATATCAATAGTGATTGAATTAACAAGAGACCTATATTGAGACCTATAACTTAAGACACAATGTTGGGCCAGGGATTTAGCTCAGTGGTTTCACCGCCTGCTGCACAAGGACCTGAGTTCGATCCCCAGTACCAAAAAAAAAAAAGACACAATGTTATAATAATAATTCTATAGGCTAAAGACAAAGCATTTTTAATGACCTAAATGTCCTCTATTAGAAGCAAACTAATGAGGTTAATGCTTTTGCTAAGGATGGAGTATGGTAAGAAAATAAAACTCAATTGCTTTTTCCTTCATTCTATTAGTTTACATAGTATTTGGTTTTCTAACTATTTTGGGTTTAGCAGAATCATTTCTAAAATTTAGTACTAAAATTTCTTAATGTATCTTCTCACATCCTGCCCAAAATGTAATAACTGCCCAGTCTAGTAACTGAGATTTCTTTTGACAAATGACTGACCCTATTTTACTACCCTACTTAATTAAATTCAGTCAAAAATAATTATCATAAATGTAACTTTCACTAAGGTTTACTTTTCCATAGAATCCAATTTAAAAAGCGTTAACAAAAAATAATTCAAGGACTGGTTTTAGAAATTTGTCCCTATCTCCGATTTTAATAGCAATAAGGTAAATTCTGAAATCCCAAGTCTGTGATCTGTGCTCCTACACTTAACATCTCCACCAACAAGGAATGAACCTTGCCATGGCCATGGCTGCAATCTCCAGGCATGACCTTTGCTATAAAGGACTGATAACTGATACACCTCTTTTCTAATAACTGGGCAATTTGATCTTATGTCCTAAAATTTAGAGGTAATAATAATTTCACTGACCTTGATAATACCTTAAAAAGTAACAGATATGGCAGAAAGAAGATCTCCATTATTGAAATAACATATAATAACCTCCAGTTTAGTACTAAACAAACATTTAAAAAATCATCTCTAATAAAAAACAATTTGCTGTACTGCTTACCTGTAGTTTAGGCTGAAGAGCCAGGTATACACGAAGAATTTCTACACTGCTACGTATGCGAACAGATGCTCTCTCTGGCTCAAAGTTTGGGTTGATTAAATCATTGAAGGGTTCATTTGTAACATCATTTCCCAGTAAAGAATAGTAAAAGAAAAACTCAGGCTGTCTTTCTGGAAGTTTCATGGTACACGGAATTAACTAAACATTTAAGGTTGAAAATAAAAAAAGAGTATTATTTTCTTAACCACTAAATTGTACTCCAAAAATGTTGATTTGTTTAACACATTCACAACAGAGCTGTAATTCATGTCTCACTGCTGGGCCACTTGAACCACCAGTGCTGTACATGCATGACTGTTCCATTGGGTGGCTTTTTATTAATTTTATCAGTAAAAAGGCCAATAAAAATAATTAGATCCGTTTGTCCCACCAGTAGTACAAGCGGACCAGTGGGACAGTCACGTATGTACCACCTGTGGTTCTAGCGAACAGAAACATATTAGTCTTAAAATTAACCACTCAGCCGGGCATGGTGGCGCATGCCTGTAATCCCAGCACTCAAGAGGCTGAAGGAGAATAACCATGAGTTTGAGGCCAGCCTGAACTATATAGTGAGAGCCTGTCTTAAAATACCAAAAGAATTAACCACTGAATTTCTAAATCTCTGCAAAATTATTACTGAATTACTAGTTTGGTATTTTTTGAAGGATCATCTTTAAAAAGCATGGAGATTAAAAGACTTTTAACAGGTTTACCTTGTTTTGTTTTGTTTTTTGGTACCGAGGATCGAACTCAGGACCTCGCGGTTGCCAGGCAGACGCTATGCCACTGAGCTAAATCCCCAGCCCAGGTTTACATTGTTTTAAAGTTTTCATTTCACTCAAATAATCCATGAATCAATAAGTGAACATTCTTTTTTAGAAGGATCAAGTATTTTAAACTAAGCTTTCCTAATCACACATATTTCATGTTATCCTTATCCTACCAATAAAGGCTCCATCTTACAAATGAGAAAAAGTTTAAAAAAATCTTAATCTGGGTTATTTTTTTCTTTTATCATCCCTCTCCTAATCCAGGCTACTTAAATATCTTACTCTAGATCTTTGATTAAGAAAGCTTAGATACCTGTGATTAATCACTGCAAAAAATGTCTTTTATACTAGCAGTGTTATTTCTCAGAGTTGCTACTTTCATGGTCAGATATGACTAAGAGATGGGATTCTTGCCATATAAAATAGAAACTATCTCCTAACAGACCCTACATGTTTACTAGACCATTGTTTAACAATATATGGTAAACATTTAATGTGCCCATTGATAGGAAATGCTTATAGTTAGGTATCATTCAGTAAAGCTACTAAATACTGAAATGCTGATATGAAAGTTAGCTAAGATATACTGTTAGGTTAAAAAAAGTTACAGTAAAAGTTACGAAAATAAATGTAATTACTTAGGTCATATTAGCACAGTATCAGACACATAATATTAAGAAATTGTTTTAATCCTACAATTTGAAATGTATCTGTTGAATTAATTTTAATCATGTAGATATATACACATGCCTGATATATATGTATGTTCATATACAAACCTACAAAACTATAAATTATGGAGTTAGACTCCAACCCCTAATCCTGGTTCCATCAGTGAAGTGTTATAAAACCTTAATGTTGTGAAACCTTAGAAAAATAACTTCATTGCTCCGTGGTTCAATTCATTTAGGGTTGTAAGAAGTGTTAAAAGAGAAAATACTTGTTCTGCACTATGATAGCGTCAATCACAGAGTTAGATGTTATAGTGTAAGAGTGAGAAAATCTCTAGAGAAAAATATACTTCCCTTAACAATGACAATTTCAGAGTTTAATTAGAAGAGACTTTCATATATTCTTTTATTTCTTCCATAATCAAAAAGCAATAAAAACATTAAGTAATAAAGGTGGCCCCTATATATTTCATGTACATTTAACTTTAAATAATTCTCACTATGGGAAGATATACTTTTTAAAATCTTTTATTGCTGGGCATGATGGCCCACGCCTATAATCCTGGCACTCAGGAGGCCTGGGTAGGAGGATCAGTAGGCCAACCTGGGCTACATAGATCTTGTCTCAAAACAAGAACAAACAAACAAAAACTCCCTTTTTATTATCCTGGAATTTAGAGAGTGGGAAAACAGAGTTTCTTTTATTCCCTTAATATTTATTCCCTAAATATTTCAATATTTAGGAAAAGAAGGAACATAAACACCATCCAGTCTGGCTCCAAATGGACCTTTCTGGTCTGTCACTGATCTGCATATAAAAAGGTATGTTGGTATATTGTCTTTGACCAGGTTGAGAGGAAAAAGCCTAAGTGGATAGTAAAACTAAGTGGATCATTTCGTTCCAAACTAAAACAATGTGACCAGTCAAATGTAATGGAAGACTCACAGTTTCATTTTTTCTCCTGCTCTCAGCTTCAGGGAACCACAAATCTGCTTTTAATCTCTACAATTTTTTTTTTGCCTACTCTGGATATTTCATATTCATAAATGGAATCATACAATATGTGGCCTTTTTTGTCTGACTTTTTTCACTCAGCATGTTTTCAGTTCTCATCTATGTTGTAGTATACATCAACAGTTCATTCCCAAAGAGTGGAGTAACATTCCATTGTATGGATATACCACATTTTGTTCTTCCATTTGTCTGCTGATGGACATTTGGGTAGTTCCCAGGGTGAAAAGTGGTGTTATGAACATTCACATGCACATACTGTTTTGACCCGTTTTTAATACTTTTGGGTGCATAATCATAATTGGCATTTCTGGGTCATGTAACACTTTGAGGAACCTAGCTGGCTTTAATTTTTATAGAGAGATCACTTTGCCAGATATCAGTATCTCTTGCTGTCTTCCTCTGTGTGTGTGTGTGTGTGTGTGTGTGTGTGTGTGTGTGTGTGTGTGAGATAATTAAACTGGAAGGATAATTTGTCCCAGTAAGTCCCCTAGTATTACTAAGAACTGTATTACTGTATTTAGTTGTGGATTTGATAGGTCAATTATGCACAACAAGCTTTTACTATCTAAATGTAGCTTCTTACATAGAAACTACATGGAACATACTTTACTATTATATCATTCCTCATGTATATCTGCAAAGATGGTATCATAGTAGTACCATGACTACACTAGGAAAAATCAAGCCTCAGAAAGGCAAGTAACTTGCCTAAATTAAAGGAGCTAGTAAATATTGAGAATGAGATTCCAACTTAAATCTTATTCCAAATCCTGTAAGAGACAGGAGAGTATAATACAGGAACAAAAGCAATGTGAAAAGTAATCATATACTCAGAAATATTTGGGCCATTTACTAGCTATAAAATCTACCTAATCCTGGGCTATCTCATCTCTAAAATGAAACTAATAATCCTCTAAGATTGTGGTAGAATTATATATAGTATATGCAAAACAGCACAAAGTCTATTATACAGCACACAACACATTGTAAGTGAGCAATAAATATCAACCACTAAGCTTCCCCATGGAGGCAAGAAATAAAATAGCAATTCAAATTGGTGCACAAATATGTTAACACAGTAAGAATACAGAGGGCTCCTACTCATCTGACAAGTGGGCAAGAGTGTTCTGATGTGGTTAATATAAAGGCAACTTTCTCAACAACTTTCAGGGTGACATATTAAACTGAAGCAATTCCTAAGTAGAGATTGATGAAGAGAAGAAAACTAAGGAAACTGATGGGGAAAGACAAAAGCGCGCCTGTTAATGAGGAAATGATAGTATTAAACTGGAAGAAAAAGAGTAAATAAGCATCCAAAGAAAGAAAGATGATATATATATATATATATATATATATATATATATATATATATATCTCCTTTTTGTAATGGACATGACTAGTGTAACAAAGTAAATGCTTCCTGAGGAAAACTTTATCTGAGAAATCTTGAAAGTCACATAAAAATAGTCACTGATTGCACATTTCACCTGTGAATGCAGCTTATATGGGAATTCTGCACCTCTAAAAAAGTGACTAGTCTAATAAAAATGAGTCATAAGTCATGTTGTCTGTTTTTAAAAATATTAATTCTAGCTACTAGAGCCCCACAGACCACACAATGTCAAGAATACTGGACTTATCCTGAAATAGACAAAACATGAGCTACTTTTATATTGTGCACTGTTGGGAAGAGTCAATCTATCACGAGTGTCTGACATGCCAAGACTGCCAGGCTCTGACTCAGTTTTTATCCAGGGTGCTTCTCGGAGATGTTCAAACATCAGTAACCCTGAGAAATCGGGTAACGTGTCTCCTCAGACAAAGACCAGGACTTCTTACTGCTCACAGTAAAAGTGATGCATTTCCCAAATTAATTTTTCTCAGCTGTGACAAAATCCACTGTATGCCCTCTGTGTAGTCTCTGTGGGACTTGGAATAGGAAAATTGAAGAAAATATACTGATATTCATGTTGTCATACTGAGACTAAAAGTCCTTTGGGTCTCACTAGGAAGCTTTTGTCTTCTGCCAGTATTCAGAACAATAACAGGCTAATTTACTAGCATTTTTAAAAGGTAAAATATAATACTAGATCCAACAGGCATTAAGTATTACCAGGACAAAGTGTTCCTGTAACTGCAAATTTCTCCAAAAAGTACACTTAAATAGCAAATTCAAAAATTCCTTTCAAGGGCCGGGGATTTAGCTCAGTGGTGCCCGTGCCTGCCTCGTAAGGACAAGGTCCTGAGTTCGATCTCTGGTACCAAAAACGCCTTTCAGCAGTCCTTATATTGGTACACAGTATAAGGGCAAATAATATCTATTGATGGCTATTTTCCTAAATCCTGAACTTTAATTTGTTCTCTCACTACCAAGATACTGAAATCCAGTCTCTTCCTAAAGTTAAAATGTTCTTATATGAAAGAAAATATTTTTGAGTGCATTTTTTAAAAGTCTACTTGCAAATCATTTCAATATCTAAAAGGTAAGATTTATAAAAAAGATGCTTTTAAATTCTTTATGAATAACTAATCTCAGGGAATGTCTCACCTGCTCCAACTGGGTGGCAAACGCTATGGTCACTGACATAATGAAGGCATCAGTACAATACTCTGCTGGTCCAATCTGATGGTAGCCTCCTTCCTCATTCAGCACTGCTACAAGGTCCTTTGGGTCAAGTCCAGGAAGGCTGGCAGGCACTTTACACAGAAAAACACAATCTACAGTTTGCATACACTACTATGAGATTTTAAAAACTCGTTATATTTTTTAATTTGCTTGGCAATATTTGTGGAAACAATATCTCAAAAGGTTTCTTTTAATTTCTTACTCTCCAAAGAAACTTCTTTAACTTTATTCTGTTTGTAAGGACTAGAATATAACATTTTTTAAATTATAGTTTAACAAACCATGTAGAAAAGGCATCTAACATAAGTTTCCTAGTGAACCTAAACTGGGAGGTGAAGAACAGTAGATTTAGCTAACACAAGAAAGATGACTGAATGGAGAACAGAGGACTGAAAGTATGTTCTAGACATGGGAAGAACAATATGAAGGCACAGAAGTATGAGACAGCAAGGGCTGGAAAAGGTGAATAGGTGAGGCTGCTGGATCACAGAGAACTGACCTACAAGCAGAAGTTGTTGGGGGGATAAGTGGAGGTTGTATCATGAAGGGTCTCCCTGAATGCTATGATGAGACATTTGGACAGGTTTTTAAGAATAAAGAAAAACCATGAAATAATTTTGAGAGTTGACTAATATAATCAAATAAGTTTCAGTATGAAAAGACTGGACAGGGACAAGGATTTTTCAAATTGCTTAAAACACACACACACATCCTAAAAGAACAGATAATATCTAGTGTTGGAGAAATGCAGAAGCAAGAAATCTCAAAAAGTAGATACTAGTACAACCTACTGAAGGGTAACACACTAGTGTTTATCAAAATTCTGTATATCCATACCGTAAAAACAAGTAATTCTTCTTCTAGAAGTTAATCCTAAAGAGATGTTCTTACCATAGGATTGGCTAAAATAATATAATTGTTAAGAGCACAAATAAATATTTAAGCCACATAGACCAATTTACCAATTCCAGTTGCCATCAGTTATATCAGAAAACTGTATGATCTCCTCTAGTATCCAATTTTTCTTCTGCAAAGCTTTCATGTGGTTGTTGAGAAGACCAAATTAAACACTTCAATCAAAACACTTAGCAAAGTATTTGATACATTAATTACTTTAATAAAGGCAGCCATTATATAGTAAGGACAACAAAGCCTAGAAATTAAAATAATAACTATGAGAGGTTTCTCATTGTCAGGGAAGAGTTACAAATATGAAAGAGAGAAAATCAGCATGCTGTTCATATGGATAAATACAAATGAAAAGGTGTACATGTGCTACGTTTGAATATGTCTCCTCCAAAATTCAGGAGTTGAAATTTATGGTCACTGTGATAGTATTAAGAGGTGGGGCTTTTAATAATAAGTGATTAGGTCAGGAGGCCTCCTCTATTGTGAATGGGACAAGATGCCCTTATAAAAGAGCTTGACGGAGTGAAATCATCTCTTTCCCTTTGGACTTCAACCTCATGAAATGGGAGGGCCTTGATCCTAGACTTCCCAGCCTCCAGGATTGTAAGAAATAAATTTCTGATCTTTATAAACTACTCTATTAGTGGTATGCTGTTATAGCAGCACAAAATGGGCTAAGACAATATGTATATATACACAAGTGGATGGAGATGGCTGACTGGCTAACACCAGGACTGAGACTGAGAAAAATGAGCCTAGAATATCCTGTTGTACCAGTACACAAGAGGCTCAAAGAATTATGCAGACAGTGAGAAGGAAACAGAAGCAGCTTGAAAGGAATACCCAAATCTGGGAAAAACGCAAATTGATATTTAAAGGCTATAAAATACAAGTAAAACTATAGATTTATATCATTATAAATAAATGAATAAATTGGAGGTCAATGAGAAATGAAGTATTTTTCATAATTTCCCAATTCTGCTCCACAAAAATTAATTACAAAGGAAAAAAGAGCAAGTTTACAACTGGAAACACTGATACCACATCAATCATGTAATTAAAGCAAGCATCATCAGTAATGAACAAATCAAACCTGCGTTACCTGATAGGATAGCACATGGCATCACTTCTGGATATTCTTGCCAAAGATTCACAATCTAAATCTCAACTCAGACAAATCTAAGTCAAAAGGCCTTCTAGAAATTAACTGGCCCATGATCTTTGCAGTTTCAAAGTCATGAATGCTCAAGGATCTATTACATGACAATTAAATGCAATACCTGATCCTAAATTAAACTCTTATACTACAAAGGACATTAATGAGACAAAGAGAAAAATACAGAATTTCTCAGACAAACATAAATCAAGGGAATTTGTTGCTAGTAGACCCATTTTGCAAGAAACGTTAAAAAAAGTTCAGAGACAAGGAAAATGATATGGGTCAGAAACGTGGAGCTACATAAAGAAATGATAAGCATCAAAGGACAAGTGAAGGTAGAATAATAAAAAAATTTTAATTTATTTATTTTTGGTGATACTGGGGATTGAACCCAGGGCCTTCACACTGAGCTACATCACTGGCCCTTTTTATTTTGAAACAGGTTCTTGCTAAGTTTCTAAATTGGCTCAAACTTGTGGTCCTTCTGCCTCTCCCTTCCACAGTCCAAGGGTTACAGGACAGCACCACTGAACCTGGCTTTAAATTCTTCATTGACTGAATGGATTATTCAAAATAGTAATAGCAATAATTTATTCAATTATGTATGTGCACGTATGTGTGCAAGTGTGTGTATGCTTATGTAAAAGTTAAATGACTCCAATGATACAAGGGAGAGGAGAAAAATAATATATTTTTGTTATTAAAAGGTACTTGAGTTATTCATGGGTTGGTATATAATAATTGAAAGTAGACTTGAACAATTTTTAAAAGTATAGCTAATGTGTTAAGAAAGAAAAGTAAATGAAATTATACAAAATTAAAACTAAAACAGGCAGAAAAGATATGGGAACAAGGGCAACAAATAAATCACACAACAAATATGGTCAATCTTAATCCCAACTATATCAATAATCTCTTTGAACATCAATGGTCTAAAAGCATCATCTAAAATCAGAAATTGGGCCGGGGATTTAGCTCAGTGGTTCTGCCGCCTGCCTCGCAAGCTCAAGGTCCTGAGTTCAATCCCCAGTACCAAAAAAATTAAAATAAAAACAGAAATTGTCAAACTAGATCCAAAATAATACCCAAGTATATGTTGTCTATAAGAAACCTGCTTTAGATATAAAGACAAATATATATTAAAAGTAAAAGGATAAAGAAAGATATACCATGTAACACAAAAAGAAACAGAGTAGAGTAACTATATTAATTTCAGACAGAGGATACTTCAGATAAGGAAAGTTCTAAGGGACAAAAAGGGACACTACATGATAAAGAGGTCAATTCTTTAACATGTATACACCTAGCAATATAGCATCAGAATACTTGAGGCAAAAACTAGTAAAAAAAAAAAAGCAAAGAAAAGCAGCTGAATCCACTACAGCAACTCAACACTCACTGGTAGATCCAGAAGGCACAAAATAAATAAGTACATGGTTGAACGCAACACCACCATCAATTACTTGGACAGGCTACTTCATCCACCAACAGCAGAACGCACATTGTTCTCAAGGTCACATGGAACCTTCACCAAGATAGACCACACACTGGACAACAAAACACACCTTAAGATACTTGACTAGAAATCACACACTATCTGCTTACTGTCAGACTAGAATGGAATTAAACTCAAAATCAGTAACAAAAAAAGAGGTGAAAAATTCCAAAATAATTGGAGATTAATCAACACATTTCTAATTAACATGAGTCAAAAAAATCTGCAGAGAAATTAAAAAATATCTTAAACTAGGTAGATGTAGTGGTGCATATTCATAATCCCAGCACTCTGGGAGGCTAAGTAAGCAGGATCACAATTTCAAGTGCTACATGGGCAACTTAGCAATGTAGTTAGAACTTGTCATATGAAAACAAAAACTTAGTGACATCTGTGTGATGCAATGAAAATAGTACCTGGAGATAAATTTATAACTCTGAACGCATATGTTAGATAAAATCTAAAGTCAACTGTCTAAGCATTCACCTTAAAAATATTTTTAAAAATAACAAAGGCAAATTAAGTTCAAAGAATAGAGAAGAAAATAATAAAAATTAGAACAGATCAATGAAACTGAAGATAAGAAACCAATTGGGGGAAAAAAGAAAACAAAACCAACAGCTGCTTCTCTGAAAAAAAAATTAAGTCAATTAGCCTCTAACAAGAAAAAAAGTGAGAGGACACATATTACAAATATTAGAAATGAAAGAGAGAATACCCTTAAAAATCCTATGGCCATTAAAGGGAAAATAAAGCCTAAAATCACAATTTAATAACCTAAATGAAATGAACTAAAATTCACATAAGAAACAGACAATATGACTAGGGTATATCTAAGAGAGAAATTGAAATAGTAATTTATAACCTTCCAAAACAGAAAGCAGACCTAGATTAGAGTTTACTGGTGGATTTTATCAAAAGTTCAAGGAAGAAATTTTATCCTGAAAGAGATAGAGAATATTTTCTAACTTATTTATCATCAGCATTAACCAAATACCAAAACCAGACATTACAAAAAAGAAAAAAAGCAGAAGAAATACATGCCAATATCTCATGAGCATACACACAAAAATCTTCAACAAAATATCAGCCCACCAAATCCAACAATGCACAAAAAGAATTATAGTATATACCCTGACCAAATGGAATTTATCCTAGGTATGCAAAATTTGTTCAACATTCAAAAATCAATTAATGTAAATGACAATATCAATAGGCAAGAGAATAAAAATCACATGATTATATCAGTAGGTACAAAAAACACATTTGATAAAATCCAACACTCATTTGTGATAATTAAACACAAACAAATAAAAACCATACCTCTCAATAAACTAGGTTTAGAAGGAAACTTTCTCAACTTGATAAAGAATATCTATAGAGGGCCAGGGATTTAGCTCAATGGTTCTGCCACCTGCCTTGCAAGCGGAAGGATCTGAGTTCAATCCCCGGTACCAAAAAAAAAAAAAGAATATCTATAGAAACCTCAAAAGTAATATCATACATAATGGGCAGAAATTCAAAACAGTGTTCCTACTAAGATCAGATATGAGACAAGGATGTCCCCTTTCATTACTCCTTTTCAACATCGTACTTAAGTCCTTGGCAGTGTAGTAAGACAAGCAAAGGTATATATAGTAAGAAGAAACACTGTACGATCTTTTTCAGCAGACAACATGATTATTTATGTGGAAAATCTGCATGTGGAAAGACTTGCAGAAAAAAACAGTCTTGTAGTTAAAAATGATCATAGCAAGGTGCAGGATACAAGGTTAACATATAAAAGTCAGCAGAGCTTTCCTAATATGCCACAAAAAATTTGAATAAAAACACATTATAATTGATATTAACATCCCTCCAAAATGTAATACTTAGCTATAAATCTAAGAAAATATATAAAAGATATGAGGAATTCTAGCAAATTTCTAATAAAAGAAATGGAAAAATTTTAAAGGTGGAGACAGTGCATGTTCATGATTAGGAAGATTCAATGTTGCCAAGATGTTAGCTCTTCCCAAATTGACCTATAGATTTAATGTAATCCTAACCAAATTCTAGAAAATTACTTTTGCGGATGCTGCAAAACTGATTCAACTTTATATGTAAAAGCAAATGACCCAGAATGGCCCAACTCAACACTGAAGAACAGATTCAAGGACTAATACTACCTGACTTCAAGGTTTATTATAAAGCTATAGCAATTAAGTAGAGTCAGGTATTGTTTCACAAAGAAGCAAAAGTAATCAACAGAGAAAAATAGTCTATCCAACAAATGTTGTTACAACAACTTGGTAACCATATGCAATCAATCAATCAATCAATCTAGATACATTTTACAACCTTCAAAAAATTACCTCAAAACATTTCATAGACCCTAAGTGTAAACTACAAAACTAAAAGAATTCATGGAAGACAACATAAGGAACATGCCAACAATTTTTCAGATATTCCAATAAAGGCACAATCCATGAAGGATATAACTGATAAGCCACTTTTCAACACAATTAAAAAGTTCTGTGAAAGCTAATGTCAAGAGACAGACTACAAGCTACAGACTGGGAAAATATATCTCTAAAAAACACATTTGATAAAAGACTGCTATCCAAAATTACAAGGAACTCACAGCAATAGAAAATGAACAACCTGATTAAAATGGCCTGGGGGGCTGGGGTTTTAGCTCAGTGGTGCTGCGCCTGCCTTGCAAGCACAAGGTCCTAAGTTCCATCCCCAGTACTCCCCACCCCCGCAAAAAATGGGCCAAAGACCCAAAAAGATACATCAAAGATGTGGCAGATAAACATATGTAAATATGCTCAACATCATATGTCACTGATGAATTTCAAATTAGAAGAACAATGAAATACCACTGCATAACTACTAGAATGGCAAAAACCCAACACACTTGACAACAAAATGCTGGTGACACTATGAAGCAGCAGGAATCCTCATTTCCTGCTGATGGCAATGTAAAATGGTATAGCCATGCTATACAATGGTTTGGAGATTTCTTACAGAACTAAATGTACTCTAACCATAAGATCTAGTAATCATACTCCTTAGTTTTACCCCAACTGAAAACATAGGTCCACACAAAAACTCGCACACGGATGTTTATAGCAGCAGCTTTATTCATAACTGCCAAAAGTTGGAAGTAAACAAGATTTTCTTTAGTTGCTGAAAAGGTAAACAAATTGTGGTACATCCAGACAGTGAAATATTACTCAGCACTAAAAAAGAATGAGCTATCAAGCCATGCAAAGCATGGAGGAACCTTAAGTGCACTTATTACTAAATGAAAGACATCACTCTGAAAGGGCTACACACTGCATGAGTCCAACTATAAAACATTCTGGAGGAGGCAAAACTATGTAGACAGAAACAAAGATCAGTAGTTGACTTGGTTCATTTTTCTGTTGTTATAATTGAATACTCGAGACTAGGTAATTTATAAAGAAAAGAAATTTTAGTTGCAGTGCCCGGAAGTTAAAGGTTGAAGGACCTTATCTGGCCATGATCTTTCTAATGATGGGAACTCTACACAGAATCCAAGGTGGTACAGGGTATCACTCAGCAAGGGTGATCATGACAGCCAGACTAACTGGCTTTGATAATAAAAACCCTTCTCATGATAACTGACCCCCCTCGACAATGCACTATTCACTAATGATTAAAGAGAATCAGCCCATCCACAAAGGCAGAGAACCCTCACTCAATCACCTTCTGAAGATCTCACCTGCAATACCATCATACACAACCTTGAGAATTAAGTCACTAGTGCATTGATGCTGAGGCACAAACCCTACCTTCAGTCAGATGTTGGGCAATAAAGCACAGAGGAAGCAGTGAAACTATTCTGGATGATACTACGATGGCAGATAGGTGTCATTACCCATTTACCAAAATCCACAGAACGTACAAGAGTGAACTCTAATGTAAGCTATGGACTTTGAAGATAATGATGTATCAGTGCAAAGTCATCAAATGTATTGAGACTCTACTCTGACTCCGAGATGTTAATAATGGATAACGTTGTACCTGTGTGGAGACAGGGGCAGAAGGGAACTCTCTGCACTCTCCAAAAAGCACAAGAGAACGAAACAAATAGGAAGGTTTTACTAAACTACAAATGAATTAAAAAGCAGAATAGCATATCTTTTAGGGGGCATTCCTATAATCATTCTAGAAGTAAATTTACTTAAGCAGCAATTTTTAAAAATAGAAAATTTTCTTTGTTCTATTATATATCAAATGAAGATAAGATTTTCCTACTGCTTAGATTTGTAACCAAGAGCTAAGAGCAACAGGTGCTGCACGTGTAACAATGTCACACTCCTGCATCTATCTCCTCCCCTTCCTGAAGTCCTCGTCCATAGATAACTTCTCAGATGTCTTTGGGATGATGCACAAACCTTTTCCATCTCGAGGTGGGGCTCCCTTCGCTTTAAAACTATCCACTGGTGCCTTTGTATCTGTTTCCAAAGTGATGCTTATTTGTATCTCAGACTTGAACTTGGTGTATTTATTACTCAGCAACTGGTGCCACTTTGGTGCCTAGAGGACAACAAAAATGCAACACCTTAATAGTAGGGAAAAAAGTATTGGAAATGTTCAAGATTCTAAATACATTTCCTGTAGTTTCTTAGCATTTTTCTCCTCTTTAAAAGAAAAGGTGTTTTTTTTTAACCCACATTTTCTACCAAAGAAATTAATACTACTTAGGAACCCATCAACTGAATTTCCCTTTGAAGAAGCTACTTTGAAGCTTAGATTCTTGCTTCTCTCCCGCAGAGGACTGTAATATTGATTATGCCCAAGGCAGGCTGTAAAAAGTTAACCTCACAATTGGCTTGGTTATAGAAGTGAATCTGGCCTAAGCCTACCTGCAGAGCTCAGAGTAGCTTGCAACCAAATTCCGTTCCCGCAACTAAATCCTTCAGACTAGGACAATGTTCTAATTTTAATCATATATTTTGTCTATTCTGTTCCTAATTTGAAAATGCTTTGTCTTGTCCTTATGAGCCTTGTTTACATTAATTTCCACAGAAACCTCACAGTGCCTTTATCTCAACTGATTGCCAATAAAAGTGCCTGGGACTGGCTAGCGCCTTTGTTGGTTGCACCGGCGTGGGTTGTCCTAACACCCCACTTTCTCTCTCTTCTGTTTCTTAGTGTGTTTTTCTCTCAGGACTGTGTCGCACACTGGGTGGGGGGCGACTAGAGACTTACTGCAGGAGTCTCTGGCACTCTCCTGTTTAAACAGGCAAAATACTAAGTGAAAGAAAACACAAAACATATTTCTTTCTATCTTTATACCTTTGTATCTCCAATCTCATCTCAACTGTTTAAACCATCAACTTTCTGTTTTTCTAACTTATGCTGTTTCCTAACTTATACTTTTCTTTTTGCCACATTTCTGTTTTGTTCTGCCTGTACCAAATAAAGAAAAAAAAATCTTACTATTAAAAAAACTTACAGGGTCTGGGATTTAGCTCATTGGCACCACACCTGCCTGGCAAGTGCAAGGTCCTGAGTTCAATTCCCAGTACAAAAAAAAAAACAAAAAACCTTACAAATACCAAGGTGCAGCACTAGAATTTTGGCTTATGAACTACGTTCTTGAGTGATAAAACAAAGGCCTTCTATAGAATAAAGTATCCTAAATTACCCAAGTATTCCCTTTAGAGTAGCCTCAGAAATTCTAATACCCAGGTGAGCCTGCAAACAATCACACGGCCCAGGAAATGTGTGCAATTGATACAGCAATCACTATTCACCAAGGGACCGTTCAACACTTGGAAACAACATTCTTACTCTGACCACGGCTACACAAAGATACAGTACCTGATGATCAAAAGCAGAAACTATTGTTTTATTTTCAAATTATGTTTGATAAGTAAAACAGGATTAATGAGGCCATGAGCATTTCTTTAAAAAACTACAAATTCAAAATGAAAAATATAATCTATTGTATTTATTATGATAAATATTTTCTAATTTTTTTTGGTACCGGGTATCAAACTCAGGACCTTGCACTTGCGAGGCAGAAGGCGGCACCACTGAGCTAAATCTTAGCCCCTGATATTTTCTAATTTTAAACATAAACCTAGCCAGGGATGGTGGCATTTGCCTGTAATCCTAGCACTTGGGAAGTTGAGGCAGTAGGATAGCCATTAGTTCATTAGGCCAGCCAGAACTACACAGTGAGATGCTATCTCAAATAAACAAAAAATACAAACCTGAAAAATAGATTTTTAACTAAGTAGTTATATAAGTAGTTACAGATTTTATGTTTTTCTGTAACACAATTCAGAAAAATAAAACTAGAATTTTCTGTTTATAGAGAATGAATTTAAACTTCAAGAATTCTACTAGCCAAATTATCTGCTAGAAAACAAAGAAAAGCAAAACAGCATTTGGTTTTCCAAAAAATAAATTTTGAACCATTTCTCCTGAACTTTGATCACAAATATGGTTACAAACTGTCCTGGAAAACTACACAAAGGAATGAGGAATATCAAGAACACTCGCAGGCAAATCTCATCCCTTAGCCACACCCCTCCTCAGAGGAGTTACTTCTCCACAGCACAGTGACTGCAGAAGTGCCCTCCAGACACCTGCACAATGCAGGAGATGCTGGGCAAGGGAAACACCCAGGACTCAACCAGGGTTTAGGGTCTAAGGCCAAAGAAGAAGGGAAAGGCCTGAGAACAGACAGGTAATGAGTACCCAAGGATGGGGAGAAAACAAGTCCTCTTTTAAAGCATTCAAGAACTTTAGTTCCTTTTGAATGATTCCAATTTTGGGCCAATTTATTTGCAAATATCATTGCTATCAGCAATAAAAAATGTTAAAGAACAGATAAATTAGATTTCTATCAAGCAAAACAAGATTCAAGAATGGTGGGGGGGATAAAGGATTTTTTTTTTTTTGCAATACAGGGGATTGAACTGAAGGCCTTCACACTGAGCTTATACCCTTATTCCTTTTTATTTTGAGACAAGGTCTTGCTAGGTTGGCAAGGCTGGGCTCAAACTTACAATCTTCCTGCATTAGCCTGGGATTACAGGCACGAGACACCATGCCCAACTACTTTTTCAAATTTTTACTTCTTTTAAGAAAAGGAACTGTGATCAAATAAAGACATTAAGAAAAACTAAAAGATTTCTAAAGTCAATCACATACAAAAAGGTTGGAAAATACTTAAAAAGACATAAGAAGCATGTTCAATAATAAAAAGTACTAACATGGGAATCGGGACCCTGAGTTCTTTTCTTTGGGGAAAGAAGGTACTAAATAATAAGTAATACTAAGTGTAATACTAAATGTATTTTAGTAAGTTCACTTACTCTAACTTAGAGCAAGTTACTTGAGCTGTCAGGACTCAGGTTCCGCATCTATAATATAGGGGAAATAACACCAATACTATAGGGTTATTCTGATGTTTAAATGAGTTATTGCTGTGAAGTACTATGAAAATTTCCTAGGGCCGGGGATTTAGCTCAGTGGTTTCGCCACCTGCTGTGAAAGCGCAAGGACCCGAGTTCAATCCCCAGTACCAAAAAAAAAAAAAAAAAAGAAAGAAAATTTCCTGGCACATTAAAAAATACTGAGTAATATGATTATTAAAATATAATGAGAAAGGTAAGAATTACGTATTTATAGCAGCCTGAAAGAGAAGCGACCAATAAAGAAGCTAATGTAAACTGATAAACTAACTGAAACAGTATTTTATAATAATCAGCAACTCCTTCCTGTAAAATAATCTGCAAGGACTAGGAAGCAAACTAGGAGGTTATTATGACAGCCAAAATAAGAATCAACTGTGGCTTGGTCACAGCAGTGAAAATGCAAAATAGTAGATCAAGAGGGAAAAACAAACTGTAATGGGTGACTACAAAGGAGGGAATAAGAAAGTGTGGAGGAAGACTCTTTGATATTTTTAATTCATATATAACTGGAAGGAGAGTGGTGAACATTCACTAAAGCAGGGAGCACCAGAGGACCAGCTATGAAAGGAAAGCTCAGGAGCTGATAACATTAAGCTCAAGGCAATTTTAATACAGGCTTGGGCTCAGAGACAAGTTTCTTTGAGAGAGACAGTTCAAAGGAATGATTAAAAAGTTAAGACTTTTCTAAAGCACAGTCATAAACTAAAACATAAGAGGTATCATACTATATCATACTATATTAGAACCCATGATCTATATCATTATATAAGAATTGTCATACTACATCAGAACCATGATCCATGTAAGGCCCAGTATTTCATGTTCTTCCCACTAATCTAGTACCTACTAAAAGTAGTGATCATCAACAAAATATCAAAATACCTGCTTTGTTTCTTGGGCAGTTCTCAAGTCCAGAACAATATAACCTACAGTTTCCTTGGCTGAAGATACAGGATCCAAGGCAAAACACTGGAGTTTGATAGGAGTACGCTGTAGTCTGTAACATAACAGTTTATATGATAAATTTTTTCTTATATTGAACTGACTTTCTATTATCCTTGACAAAATTGCCCATTATTATCCTGATAATTATAATTTTGTTGGGTCAAGAAATCTCAGAGTTTCTAAAAAGACTCAATTACCAAGAACACGATTATATTTACTTATCTATATGCTAATATCATTGCTATCAGCAATAAAAACATGTCAAAATCTTAGTGTTTCATCTAAGAGGCCAATCTAGGTCAATGTTTCTTAAACTTTTACAATGTACAGAGCCATCTGAAAGCCAAGAATTATCATGGGTCTTCATGATTGACTTTATTTTTCTTAAATCATACTGTTACATAAAAAAATAAATACACATATATGTTTATAGGTATTCATAGCTATAAAAACAATAAACTAAGGATTTAAACACCATGAAATCAAACTACTAAAATTTAAATTACTAAATCACTACTAATTCATGACAATGTTCTGTAAAATGATATTGACTAGCATAACCTGGGCTCTTTTTGTTCAGAAACTATTGAGCTGAATAGACTTTATCATCAATTTTACCTAGTGCAACTATTTAATTGCATTTAACACAAAATTTTAAATTTTAAATTCAATTTATCTGTGTTTTTTCAGCCTTTTAAATTCAATTTATCTGTGTTTTTCAGCCTACTTTTAAATTCAATTTATCTGTGTTTTTTCAGCCTACAGTAATGAAAGTATACCACTTAGCACTAACACAACTGCAACATAACTACAAATGCAGGTCCTGACACTGCACAGCAGGACTTGATCTAAGTATATATTCCAGATACCACTGAGAGGGCACACAACATTTTGATATTCTCTAAGAATTTCATATCCCTTTAAATAAATCCATGGACTCATCCAGCAAAAGAAGCAAGTAAATTTCTCCCTGAGTTCCTTCCTCTGTTAGCTTTCTATTTTAATTTGATTTAGTATTGAGAAACAGCAAGCACTGAAGTGATTATGTTTTCCAGGAGATACACATTTTTTTATTTTTTTATTTTTGGTACTAGGGATTGAACTCTGGTCCTTGTGCTTGGGAAGCAGGCAGCAGAACCACTGAGCTAAATCCCCGGCCCTCACTTTCAATCCTTTAATAAAAACACTGCTGTTCTTAACTGTTTCTGGTTATAGAGTTCATAAAAAATAAGATGCTGCAACTTTAAGTCCATCTTTAATACAGAATTAACTAGAAAGAGTCTCATATGATTTTTTCATTGGATACTGCTATAATTCCTTAGCAAGCCAACTAAATATATAATGATTACTATAAATAACGATGAATTCCAACCACTATTTGGAAAGCATCATCAATGTACTTTCAGAATATCTGTTGTCTCACACATTAGCCAAAACAATAAAAGAAAGTTTAACGAAGTGGTTGAAAGCTTTTAAACTTGCCCTTGAGATAGACTGGCTGGGATCTACCACCACCATCTAATGAACAGACTTAGCACAAGTCACTAGGTTACTTAATGTCTGGGGACTGTTTCCTCATCTCTAATAGTGGAGAAATCAGCTGACTTCACATGGTTGTTCTGATGTTTAAACGAGTACGATGACTAAAAATTTCCTAGAACATTAAAAGACACTAAAAATTTTGATTATTGCTATAATGTAATGAGGTAATATTTGTAAAAGCCTAAAAAAGAGAACAATAAAGGTGGCTATCTAAATTTAAAACAGTAGTCACCTGTGCTGATGCAGTGCTTTCCTATCAATTTCCCAGGCTAACTCGGTCGCAAATTCTGGCTGGTTAGTATGGTCCACGGGATCAGTAGCCAACTGTTCTCCATCGAACTTTGCTTCTACTATAAGCATGTGCTTTGGACGTTTAGGGAAATGGCGACCTGAAGAAACAAGACTCTACAGATTAACTGCAATGTACAAAAATCGAATAGGATCATTTAGCAGGTATCTTAAAAACCAATACATGTTAAGAGCAGCTGACTTATCATACATTGCAGAAACTAATGCATACACATTCAGTTTTATCATTCATAAAAACCAAGAATCAAATTAAAAGTTATAATTTATAAGTCCGTGCCTCTCAAGTATGAATGTCCACACTAATCCTCTGGGGAATCCTGTTAAAATGTGGATTTTGGTCCAGTCAATCTATCATAAGCCCAAGGCCTTGCATTCCTAAAAGATCTTAGGTAATGTCAATGCTCCTCTTCTTGGCTCATAATTTTAAGTAGTAAAGATCTCAATAACATCTGAAATTAAAGAGTTAAAAATGTATTCACACCAATATATTCCAAGTATTGACACCATGATTGAATTTTAGCTACTGTTTGTCTTTTTTCATGTGTGGTGACGGGGACTGAACCAAAGGTCTACGAGGAGCTACATCCTTACACCTTTTTTATTTTGAGACAGGGTCTCAGTCTCTAAGTTGCCCTTATTTTGAGACAGGATCTGGTTAAATTGCACAAACTGACCTCAAACTTGTGATCCTCCTGCCTTAGCTTCCCTAGCCACTGGGGTTGCAGGTAAGGGTCACCACTCCTGATGATTAACCAATGTTAAGTAAATAAATCCCTGTTACTACTCATACTGAATCCAGGTTCTCTTCCCCATACACTGCTACTAAACTGAGCTTGAGAACAGCATTCTATTTAGGACTATGATGTGTGATCAAAGACTACGGGATGAATGTTCAAACTATAAAGAATTTATTATAGTAAGAGACACATTGCCATCAATCCCCCTCAAAATACTTCCCCTCACTTTAAACACTTATCGTTCTTGCCACTTTTTGAAGCAATTCTGGAAGTCTTTCACGAGGGTCTAGCTGCACAGTTGTGGCCACCTCAAAGTTCTGAATAGATCGAAACATTATCTTTCTTCATCATTTTTGACTTTGGGGAAGAATCAGAAGTCACAGCACAAGATCCAGTGGTGGATAAAGACACATTGACAAGCCTGCCTTTCTGCAGGACAGCACTTGGCAGGAGCATTCACCCTATTTTTGATCAAACTTCATAAGACACTCATGAATGGAAACTTCAAGAACTGCTTCAAAGAGTGACAAAAATAATGGGATGTGTTTGAAGCAAGGTGGAGTATTCTGAGAGGAGATTAAAGGCAATGTGTCTTTTACTTTAATACTGAATTTAAGTGTTCACCATGTGTTTTGATCATATTATATATATGCTATGAACTTGTTTCTTAGAATACTAATTCTAAACTCTTTGGCTTTCAAATTCTTCTAGAGCCTATTCACTCAAGTTATACAATAGTGGTAAATATTCGCCTTCCTCTACTCTGGTCATCTTATTGCTTTCTTCCATGTTCCTGCCAACATACTCAGTCCCGGGTTGGCCTGGCTATGCAGTCAGCTGAAGCTTACATACTATTCTAGACACTTCAATCACTATACCACCCCACCTCCAAATCTATATTTAATTCAGATCACAGGTTTTTAATATATCATTTCTCAACATATTTGGGATCCTGCACATTAATTTGATCTCTAAGTACACAGATCTTTACATCCTCAAATGGAAAGTTTTATATGACATTTGTTTTCCTCACAGCATAAGGCAGTTATACCTCTAATTGTTAACCAAATTATAAGACGATTTTAGTCCTATGTTTTTAAACAGTAGTTTAACAATACTGTCCCAATTATTGCTTCTGATCAGTCTCTTATTCCAAACTTCAAAACTTAAGTTTACACCATTTCTTTCCTCTCGTCCCCCTACAGTACCAGGCCTCCACAAAATAACCACCCATGGGGGAAACAAAAATCCAACCAGGCCTCCTGGCCAGCTCTCAAGATGACTCCCTATCAGGTTATTACAACCTGTCCCCAGTCTACCTATCAATTCCTATGCCCTCCACTTTCTCTCCACCATTCAAGCAACATTTGTTGAATGAATTCAAGCAAGGCAAAATACACCTTGCTTTTCCCTAAGTTAAGTGGTCTTTGCTCTTCCCTTCCTTTCTTTACCTGACACTACCCAAATAAATATCATCTCCTCTGGTAAGCCTTCCTGGGCTTCCCCAGATAGAGGTGGTCATTCCCTTTTCCACACACTAATGAATTATTCACACATTCTCCATTGCCAATACCCTTAGCATTAGTGCCAGACTTTCAGTGAGTCTCCAATAAACAATGACATTTACTCATCACAACTTTAAGGAACATATAATACACTCTCTCCACAATGACAGCCCGCTAAGCCCCCCTCCATCAAGACTTTCAGAGCGAACGCCTCTGTAACCCTTCTGAAACGGTAGGAACAATGTATTCGAGTCGATGGCAAAGTTCTTATAAAGGGCATTGCCTGGAGACTGCTGAACAGAACGTGCTTTCTGGGAACGCTTTCAGCACACACATAAAAGCCACATGCTGCTTCTGCTGCAAATCGTTTTTTTCTGCATTCTCCGCGGCTTTGGCTAGTCATGCTAAATATCACTTATTCCGAACAGCGCTCACACTCCCTGCTGAGACTGAAATCAATTGCCTAGCAGACCTCGCTGCGTACTGTGTCCAAGAAGTCTTTGGGAACTCAGCGGAAATTTGACAGGGTTCTGGGGTGAACACAGCCTCGGTCCCCCGCGACTTTCTCACTGAGGAAGCGGCGGCTGCGAAGCCCGGAGTGAGGCCGCTCTCACCTTCCAGGATGGACACGACGACGAGCAGCTGGTCGGACTTGGAGACCATGGTGGGGCCGGCGGGGCTGCGGGAAGAGGGTGCGGTGAGCCGGGTTCCGGGATCCAGGACCCGCCACCGCTCCGGGCCGCACGCCCGGCCGAGACTCCACAAAAACCGCTCTACAGCCCGGCCTGCCCGGCCGCAGATGGAGGCGAGCCCGCCACTCCGGGACCTTTTGCCGCCAGTGCAGCCGCTTTTCAAACGCCCAGGCAGCCGCCCCCGACGCCACCGCGCCCCTCTTCCGCGTAGCAACCAGGCCCGGGAGCCGGGCGCCTGAGGGCACGCTGGAGGACAAAGAGTGATAGAGAGCAGGGCAGTCGAGGATAGAACGCCCCTCGGCCCGCTTCACCTCCCCCCTTTCACGCTCCCTTCCAGGGCCCTGGGGAGAAGACTGGTTCGTTACTTTACAGCGCTCCCTGCCAGCTGGATGGGGAAAGGCAGACCTTAAGGAGCAGTGGCCGCGCAGGCGCACTACTGCTGTCCACGTTTCCGGCTGCTGCGTGTGGAGTGTGAGGGTTAGCGTATTCTCTTTTATGCCCCACCATCACCTGAGAAATATAGCAATGGGTTTTTTAACTAGCTTTTTCCAGGCACGTAGTGTAAATATTGCTTAAAAATTTAATCACAGAAAACTGGTTTGAGTACATAACTCTGAAATTGCTTAATAGTCCTTGCGCGCCCCCTCCCGCACCGACTGGGAGAGCAAGGATCGAGAATTCGGTGATCGCTGTGGCTGACTGACACTCTCCCAGCGCCCTGGGATCGGACGCGCCCTGAAGCCATGTGTGGTCCCGGGCGGAAGTTACGGGGTCGCTGCTGCTCTGACTCCCGAAGTAGCGAAGCTGCAGGTAAAAAGTAAGGCGTCGAAACACTGGCAGCCCGCATTTTCCCTTTAAGATCGGCTAAGATTTTATTTTAGGGAAGGTTAGAAACCTTTTGAAGATTATTTAGCTTAAAACCTAAAAAAATAAATCGGTTGGAGCGGTTATGGGTATTTTAAACATAAAATGTTGGAATAATTCTGCTTTGAAAAACAGTAATTCACAACCAGTGACGGAAAAGACAAAGTGAGTTGGGATATCACCTAAGTCCACTGCTTTTTTGGTCTGTAAACATAGAAGTTGTTGTTTTGAAAACAAATAACATAATCTCTCTGGCCCTCTTTGTTATTTTCTTCTTATTATTCTCCTTTCTGTTCTTTGTGCTCAAAACAAGAGGAGGAGCATGTGAAGATTGGCATATATTAACATCTAAAACCCTTTCAGGGGCCCTCGGTTTCTCCGGAAATGTACTGTAATATTATTCAATATAAAATCAATGTAATGATCTACAATGCTTTGTGTTCGCCATTGAACAGTGTATTCTTTTGTGAAAGATATCAAAAATACTTACATAGAAAAATAAAATCAACCTCCAAATACTCAGAACCCAGCTTCACTACATCAAGACCAATCATCTTCATCTGTTGCGTTATTTTGAAGAAAATCTCTAACATCACTATTTCCTTTGATGTGTACCTCTGAAAGACAAAAATATTTTCAATAATCTTTTAACCACTGTTCTGATAACTGAAAAATTAACAATAATTCCTTAATACCATTAAATATATACTGTTCAAATTTCTCTGATTGCCTATGATTTTTTTTTTCACTTTTACTGTTCAGATCAAGATTAGAACAAATTCCAAAACAGTGCTTTTGGCTGGCATATCTCATTTCTTTTTATAAGTACCCATTCTTACTTCTTACTCCCTGAAATTCTTTATTGAAGAATCTGGTCCTGTATGTGGTAGAGTTTAATGTACCCTAAATTTTGTTGTTATAATACCAATGTTATTGAACCTATCTTCTGTTGATCTAATAAATATGTTCATATCGACAAAATTTAAAAATCAGGAAGCAAGTCAACAACCACCAAAATAAAAAGTACCTAGCAGTAACCTATAGACAAGGGAACCCCAAGCAATGAGATTAAATATCTCCATTGGAAAGAATTAACCCAAGAGATTAAGGTTTAGCACCTTCCTTTGTTATTTACATACTTGGTTGCCTTAGACAAATCACTTTACCTTTTTCAGCCTCATTTTCAACTATAAAATAATTGCTTACATGATTTCTTAGTTTAAAGTTTAAATGGAGTGTCATTTATTCATTATCTTTTTATATGAATATCTCAGACCTGAAGTAGTAGCTATAAATGAACCAGGAGCCTCCATCTTATTAGTTTGCTTTAAATTATCCAGAAAGGTATAGCCTAGATTATAAACCATTGCTTCATGCCAGAGAATAATCTCAAGTCATTAAAATTAACTAAAATGGTAGAGGGCTTGTCTAGTAGGTGTGGGGCCCTAGGTTTGATTTCCAGCATGGGGGCCAGGGGGCTTTTACATATAGTAAAATTTTGACATAGTTCTGTTTATCAGAATTTCCCAAACATTATTTCTAAAATCACTTTATCAACAGGACACTGGAAGGTAGACTTTTGGAGTTAGAAAAGGGGGGTTAGGGGGAGGAAAGGGAGAGAAGGGTCAAGATACATTATATTCATGTATTATCAGGTACCAATTTCCCAAAACAAACCCCAGTATTCTGACTACTAATATACACTAATAAGTAAATAAAATCACCTCATCAGAGCTGTTGAAAAGTCATCAACTTAGTTTGCATGGTGTTTTGTTAGAGACTGTACAGAATTAATGATGTGAAATTTCCTATCTAGAAATGAAATTATAATTCCATCACCATCTATATCTGTTGTCTTGAAATCTAATTTCCTCTCATATGTTATATTAAACAGCAGTAATTTCAGTTCTAACATAAATGATCACATTTTAGCTTAAATTCATGAGGGAAAATTTTATTATACATTTATGAAGTACCAATTACTGTTTGCAAATAATAAGCAAACACTAATGACACAAAATATGCAAATAGATACTGGACAATGCAAGATTCATTGCGCTATACACACATAAGCATGCAAATTCAAACTGACAGGTACTGAATCCACTTGTCACCCTAATAGCTAACTGTATTAATAGCTTTCTATTTCTCTTTCTACCAAAAAACTTCAAAACAAAATAAAAGATTTTGGTTGAAGTCTTTCTCTTTCTGTAGCTGTTTCACATTTTGGAAAACATTTTACTTTGATGTATTTCTCTATTTTTTCTTTCCAACAACATCTGTGGCCCACGGCACAAGAGATCATGGGCTGTGTACTCCTTCTGCCTTTTCCCCTATACATACAGACTCACACATATATGCATATAGTGAAATTTAAGCAAAGCTCTAGGACTAATGAAATTGGGATATTTACTGAATAACTGCTATTTATAAAAGCATGGTGCCAGACCCTGACCTTCAACAAGTGCTTAGAAAATAGTCTCCATTTAAAAGAGGAAATAAGAGTGAAAGCTGTTAGTATTCATCACTTACTTCCAAGATGACTTGGTCCTTTCAATCTAGGATCTGATATAATTAAACTTGGCAAACAGACTCAGTAGCATCCAAAACAGTGAAATACCTAGGAATCAATCTAACAAAGGAAGGAAAAGACAGCTACATTGAAAACTACAGTTCTCTGAAAAAGGAAGTTGAAGAGGATACCAGAAAATGGAAAGAAATCCTTTGTTCTTAGATAGAAAGGACCAATATAGTGACAATGGCCATACTTCCAAAACTGTTATAAAGATTTAATGTGGGGCCAGGGATTTAGCTCAGTAGTTTCACTGCCTGCCTCACAAGCGCAAGGTCCTGACTTTGGTCCCCGGTACAAAAAAAAAAAAAAAAAAAGATTTAATGCAATCTCGATCAAAATTCCAACAGCATATCTCAGAATTAGAAAAAGCAATCTTAAAATTCATTTGGAAGAAGAGACCTAGAATAACAAAGGCAATTCTGGGCAACAAAGGTCAGGCAGGCAGTATCACTATCCTCGACTAAATTATACTACAAAGCTACTGTGATAAGTACACAAAGAACAGACCTGAGGATCAATGGAACAGACTAGAGGATGCAGAAACAACTCCAGACAGACTCAGCCACCTTATCTTTGACAAAGGAGCCAAACACCTTCACTGGAAGAAAGCCTCTAATAAATGATGCTGGAAAAACTGGCCTTCCACATGCCGAAGATTGACACTAGACCCATATCTTTCACCATGAATTAACCTAAAATGGAAATGGATCAAAGATCTAAATTTTTTTTTGGTACTGAGGATCGAACTCGGGACCTCGCGCTTGCAAAGGAGGTGGCGGAACCACTAAGCTAAATCCTTGGCCCCAAAGATCTAAATATCAAAATGGAAACACTAAATCTGCTGGAAGAGAGAATAGGTAGAATGCTTGAGGACATAGAAGTAGGCAAAGACTTAATGAACAAAACCCAAACTGCGTGGGAAATACTGCAAAGAATCAACAACTGGAACCACATCTTATTAAAAAGCTTTTTTTGTACAGCAAAAGAAGCCAACAGAGCGAAGAGGCAACCCACAGCATAGGAAAATTTTTTTTACCAGCTATTCAGATAAAGGACTATTATCTAGAATATATAAAGAATTCAAAAAAATCAGACCCTCCCTAAATTTAAAGACCCAGTCCAAAAATGGGCATCTGAAATGAAAAGACACTTTTCAGATGAAGAAGTAGAAATAGTAAATAAATATATGAAAAATGTTCAACATCATTGGTCATTCATGAAATGCAAATTAAAACAATGCTGAGATTCCATTTCCAGAAAGAATGGCTGCTATCAAGAAATCAATAACAAATGCTGGCAGGGCTGTGGGGAAAAAGGAAGCCTTCTCCACTGTTGGTGGGAATGTAGACTGGTGCAACCACTGTGGAAATCAGTGTGAAGATTTCTCAAAAAACTAAAACTAGAGGTTCCATTTGACCCAGCTATACCTCTTCTTGGTATCTTTCTGAAAGAATTAAAAGCATCATGCCATAGTGATATATGCACATCCATGTTTATAGCAGCACAGTTTGTAATAGCTAAATCTTGGAAATAGCCCAAATGACCATCAACAGATGAGTGGATAAAGAAGATATGGTTTTTTAATACAATGGAGTACTACTCTGCCATAAAGAAGGATAAGCTTCAGACATTTATAGCTAAATGGATAGACCATGAGACCATACTCCTAAGTGAAATAAATCGGACACATGTTAAAATACCGCATTGTTTCTCTGGTGTAAGAACCCAAAAGTGAAAATAAGGACTGAAGTGTATAATAGATGTTCAGAAATGGGAAGAAAGTGTTCAAATGGGAAGGGGAACAAGGGAGGAGGGAGGGACAAAGGAAGGAAGGGACAAGAAAAAAGTGAAAATAGAAGGAAAAAATGGAAACAAAGCTTTTGTACATGGGGGGAGGGGGATTGAGGGGAGAAAGGGATAAAAAAATTATTTAAAAAGTAACTAAGCAGTTCATTTGGGTGCTTTTAATCCTTTGAGGAAGGGCCATTAATATCTATTGTAAGAAAGATAGTATAGCCCAGTATCAAAAAAAGTCATAACATACAGTACTTGGATTATTATCTCTTTTTTTTGATACCGGGGATTAAACTCAGAACCTTGCGCTTTCGAGGCAGGTCCCTGAGTGCAGAGGATAGGCAGAGCAGGGGCTGCTTCAAGAACTGTGACAAAGAGCTGCAGGCCAACAGAAAATACTGTTCAATTTTGCTTTGCAAAGACTATGCCACTGCTAGGGTGACCACATTCTAGAGGCAGCAGGGTTCTTCTGTTTTGTTTTGGTTTGTTTGCTTGTTTGGTCAGTTTTGAGAGGGCTTCTCTTTTGGAGAAGAAGATAGAACTAGAATGCCGGAATAAAAGGCTCACCACTGTAACACTGACACCGAGAAACATTATGTGACGTTGTGGGACTTTGATTCACCTACTGGATAATGTTTGATGTGCATCATTTTTTTCTTGACTAAAAAGCTTCCTTTTCACACACTGAAGCTGATAGTGGAGGAAGAAATAGTGCCAGCCTGCTCAGCTATGTAGTGGAGAAATTCCATAGGCTTCTGGGTGAGTGTTTTAGTCCACAGAAATCCGAACCCACAGAATAGTAACACAGAATCTTCTGTTACTACCAAGATATATCTGGCACAGGATTCTAATTGATGCTAATATTACAAGTACACTTGAGGGGTACAAAATGAACTGTTCTCTGTTTTGTAAACACCTAAGTGACAATGAACAGTGTACTGTACCTCCTTTGATTTCAAATGAAGGTTCTAAATACATTCATGGCCTGGGTGCAGGGCAGAGAAAAGCCTCCCTCAACTTCTTACACATTGCCCTAAGCTAGCACAAGGAGCTCCCCTGGTCCCCATTCACAAGGGATAGAGCAAAGTTAATATTCCTTGGTGATTACAGAAACTACAAAACTGTTCTTCCTGGATTATGGCATGTGTTTCTGCTGCCAACATAATACTTTGTATTTGCATAAGTGTGTACATTTCCAAGCAGGTTCTAGCAAGCAATAACAGTTTAATAGGCTGTTGAATAGAAACTTGATCTGCTGCCTTGCTGTTGTTACTTATGACCCCAGAAATGGTAATAAGATGCCATGTCCCCCTCATTCTAAAAAGTATGTGAGGAAATGGAAACTCAGATCCTTCTCCCAGGCTTGGTAAGAAGTAACTACACTGACTTTGCTATGCATAACCATCAGTCCAGCACCTACCTAACCTTACATTCATACATGATGAGCTGAAGAGTGGTGAGTGATAAACTTGAGACTCTTTCTGTTTAGAAGGTGGAAGTGCTTCCCCTCCTCATCCTAAACCAAATAAAAGCGAGTGGGTCTAAGGGACCTTTCAGAAATGGATGGACTTTCTGACCTGCAGCTCACCATGGACACTTGCGTAGGAAGAGAGAAACAAGTTGTGTGTGTGTGTGTGTGTGTGTGAAAGAGAGAGAGAGTTGTTGATTTATTAGCAACCTGAATCCATTTTTTTCTTATTGCAAAAATGTGTTATCTTTCTGTAGATGCAAAGAATATAATGCCAGTTCCTTTGACTGAGAAATGTTGGTGTCCAAGAAAACAAGGTATCAGTGAAGAAATTATAGCAGCAAAATGCTGAAGGGTGCAAAGTACAAGACAGAAACAGATGTGTCTCAGGAACAGTGAAGTAGGGGTCAGAGATGACCAAGTGAGGTGGATCTTTCGGGGTAGAATATATGGCTTTGGGAAGCCCTTCCCTATTATCATACTAGAAATAACTCCCACCATTTGTCCCATGAAAGACTCTGCTTTACTTGAGAGCCACTCAGAGGCATCAAAGACTGAATAATCTTAAATAGAGAGCAAGAAAAACAGTTAAGACTACATGCATCTGCTAAGTCAAGGACATTTAGTCTTCCTCCATATCTGCTCCCAACTCATAGGAGAAGGCTACCAAAGAGAAGAGGCAGTGAAAACATTGATCCCACTCCCTCCCCAATCCAAGTCCCTTAGGTGGAAACTATTCTGGAATTAAGGAAATGCAAGATGATATTTCAGGTAGATATGAAGTAGAATTTTAAATCATTAAATTGGACTGAACTGACATTTTAAAGCAGAAAATGATCAGAAACCTGTGGAATCTAACCAAACTATTATTAAGGGATGGAAAAGTGAGATACAGTGGAACATATTTGAAAGCAACAATTGGAGTAAAATGGAAAGCTTTTCATATTTGTATCTGACACAAGTTTAGATTGTTGAATAAATACTGATCCTCTTGATTTTTCCAGCAACTCTGTGAAGAGTAAAGTGGGGCCTTACCTTTTAACACATGAGAAAAGCTGAAACTGGATAACTTGAACAACTTAGTAACAGGGAGTGCTCAGGGATCCTGAGTTCTTGTCTTATGCTACCCTAGTGATTCTCAAATTGGGGTTCACATTTGCCCTGAGAATACAGAGCTGCACCAGGAAGCTCGAGTAGAAACAGAGCACACCATGCTATGGAGAAGCAATAGTAATCCATGGTGAGAAATTAAAGCATGGTTTCTATTTAAGACAAATGTGAAACTATACAGATAAAAACATTCGCATAATTTTAAAAATATACAATAACTTAGGGAAAAAAGTGAGGACTACATTTTAGCTTTCACCCTACCCAAACCCTGTCCGTGTTAATCTTCTACTCTTAAGTGGTCACTTTGTGGGCCTTTGAGAAGATCATCACTTATATTCCTAACCCAGGTTCACATTGAAAACCATTCGGAATAGTGAAAGGGGGGAAATATTATGCCTAAAGAGAAGTAAGGTCCTATTTCAACAAAATACTCCATGAAGTTTGAGAACATTTAAGGTATTAGCCTAATTATATGTTGAAATCATGATAATGTCAATGTAGTACATGAAATTCTTAGGAAGGTTCATTTGGACATTATAGTTATTGCAGACATACTTGGTTTGATGTTTAACTGAGAAATTCCCTTGTAATTGTTGCTTGTGATTATAAAATGTTAGTTGTGGTCTATAAATTTTTACAGCTCTGAATTGCTTATTCTATTATAAAAACAGTGAATGTTCCAAATAAGAATTGGCAAAAGCAGTAATAACTTTTTGTCTAGAATCTTCAATATTGACATTATTGGCTTATCTAATATTAACTAGAAACATGTAATATTCCAAAAATTGGTAAATATAAATTATAGTAAGTTATAAAATTTGTCTATTTTGTTCATTACCATATACTTAGTGCCTAGAGGTATCTTAAAAATTTTGTAGTGATGACTACTTTATTGTTGTCCAATAAATAAAAAAGATAAATTTATAAAATTGTTAGCATTATATCTACAGCAGTGATAGACAGGAATGGAAATGTATCTCTTTTTGTGTGTGGTACTAAAGATTGAAACCAGAGCCTTGCACATGCCAGGCAAATGTTCTACCACTGAACTCTTTCCCTAGTTCGTTTTATTTTGTTTTTTGAGACCAGGTCTTCCTAAGTTCCCCAGACTGGCCTTGAACTTGTGTTCCTCTTGCCGCATTCTCTAGCTGGAATTACAGTTGTGCACCACCACTCCTAGCTACAAATATAATTCTTATCTGGGTAGAGAAATACATAAGTATAGATCAAAAAAAGTCACTGTGAGGGGCCAGGGTTTTAGCTCAATGGTTCTGCTGCTTGCCTTGCAAGTGCAAGGTCCCAAATTTAAAAAAAAAAAAAAAGTCACTGTGAGATTACATTGTTCAAACTGCACATGAGAAAATCACCATCCATTCTCTGATACACTGACAAAAACAATCTATTTTATTTTAGAAACTTTTAATATAAAAATAAGTTATTTATTGGACTAGAAGAGAAGAGAAAGTTTTATAATGATGTTTTGGGAAAAGGCTTAAAGGTTAAAATGACTGCAAACATGAAGCTTTCAAGGTTGTCAGGAAAGAAGATGAGCACAGTATGTTACCTGTGTAAAGTACTGTGTCTCTTATCAAGTATTAAGACAAAGAGGAACAGTGAAGAAAAGAAAGGAAAGGGAAAGAGACGTAATACTAAACTTGTGTGTTATATCATTGTTCTCACTGGTAATTCTACAATATGCCTGACAATCAAAGATTACTTCTTCTTTTTTTTTTTTTTTTTGGTACCAGGGATTGAACTAGGGTCCTTGCACTTGCGCAGCAGGCAACGAAACCACTGAACTAAAATCTCTGGCCCAAGATTACTTTTTTGGAAAGTGAGAGGTGAATTTGAAGAAAACAAGCAAGAAGGCAGAAAAGCAAGAAAGAAGAAAGGAAGGAAGGAAAGGAGGGAGACAGGGAGGGAGGGAGAGAACAAAGGAAAGGAAGAATATTGGCCTAGACTTCTAGAAATCAAACCAATTCCCATAAATGCAATGAAAAACTTTTCATAAATGTTTTTCAGAAGCATGCATTTTGTCAGTTTCAATAATTCTTATTTACATATTTTCATTAAATAAAGATATGGAGTATCATAAATTTGTCTGCCATCCATGCAGTATTAACACACTAGTTTCTGTTATTTCAAGGAATATGAACATACCAAAATGATTTCTATTCAGCTGGGCCAATTCAAAATGATATTACCTGTTTGTTATTTTCCTGTTGAACATTTTAGCACTGTTTAGAGACAGTGCATCCCAAATCCTTTTTGAAATTAACTTGTCATTATATTGCCAGCACAAGTGCCAATGAAAAGCAATAAACTGATTAAGTTCCATGAGAAGGGGATCTTGTTTGTTTTACTCTCTATCCCCAGGGCCTAAAATAGTGTTTGGCATACGATAGGCATTCAATATATTTGTTGAGTGAGTAGAAAAGCAGTAATGCGGTTAAGCCTGTAAATAGACTCTAAACCTAATCTGACAAGATATATTTATATAATATCTTCTATTGTAAATTTATCAAAATAGTAAACAATGTTTGAAATAGTTATTTCTTAAAAATAAAATGTTATAGTATTATTTTGTTATATTTAGATAATAGCTTTCTTCTTTTGTCAAACTTCTAGGTTTCAATTTTTTGAATGTAGGAATCAGAAGTTTTCAAGGACTTTCTCCTGTTTCTTAAATGAACCAATATAGAACTATCAGGCATCATAAGATTCCCAAGAGTTTCTTCAAATTTCAAATACCAAAATCCACATAGCTGTTTATCTTGAAAAATTTACCTTTGAATTTACACAAAGGAATTGAAAAAATTTATCAAATACCTATTTAAAGTAGTTTTACTGGTGTGTGTGTTTTTTTTTTAAGTAAGCTGTAACTTTTAGGAAAGCTGAGCAGACTTACCAGGGCTTGAGTTTACTTCCATTTAAAAAGCATTAAATGATATAACAAATACATCTCAATGGACCCAATTATAATTCAATCCAAACTTACCACTTCTAAGAATAGAGCTTAGGGAGCACTCATTTTACACACCTCATCAGGTTTCTTTTCTTGTCCTTTCCCTTAAAGTGTTTTTGCCTAGATCAATTAGCTTTCTCTGTGCCCAGCCTGGTTCTCATGAGTATGGGTCCCTAATGTTATCATTTTGATATGAAAAGGTAGAACTTCATAGCAGTTGTTGTATTCATTAACTTCAAATCCATTTAAATCAAGCATACTTTAATCTGATACCAGTAATGAGACAAAATTATTCAGTACAGTTTTCCTCTCCCCACCTACTCTTTAAATAAGTCAATTATGGCCATTCTGAAAGATAATAACGCATCTAAATATGTTATTTATTTCAGTCAAAATGTCACTCATTGGAATATTTTGTTTATAAGCTCTTCCCCCCAAAACAAAGTCTCCCAATGTTTTAAATTTTTGAAAGTAGAACACAAATCAGCTCGGAGTATTCATTTGGACCTTATCAGACCTTAAAGAATAATTTAATGCATTTTTTCCTTAAGAGCTTTCTCTGTTGATGTAGCAATTTCTTTTTATTGTGTCAACAAAATAGAAATCAATTTAAATCTAGATGATCAATATTCAGCTAGCTACAATATTTTATTTTCTCTATAACCACATGCTATTATAATATGTAAGAATATATGAACCTAGCAAATTAAATATAAGTAAATAATTAAGACGGATGGCAAAGTGCCTATGCTTCTGCAGTCTGCAAAATAAATACTGCTGAGTATTGGGAATAAAGTGGAAACTCCAAAATAAGCATGTTTGAAGGGCAGAAGATTTTCCAACACAATGTAACACAGGTGTTCCACAATTATTTTATTTAAGTAATCTTAAATAAAAACATGTACTGTCAATGAAGTTACATTTCTTCCAGGAAATAATTATATGATGAAAAAAGAGAAGAGTCATGTGATGCCCCTGCCTCTGTTCCCCATCACCCCCTCGGCCCCACACCCTGAAGGCACAGATTTCCCAAACACAGGAGTCACAAGACATTTTAACAAATAGAGACAATTTCACATCTGTTTGAAAAAGAACCCATCTTTATTTTTATGGTTTTATTTCTATGTTGTATTCTTATAATTTTAATATTGTCTTTTAAATATTTCAATATATTTAAAGGAAGGAATATTCTGAAAAGATAGCACTTTTAAAAACACACAGGTTATTTTATGGTTATACTATAAAGAGTTATTGTAATCTCCCCCAATGTAATTCTTCAGCTTGATGATGTGATACATAAATTATTCATAAAGAAATGTATTTTAATCACTTTTTATCAGCATTGATATTTTAAGATTAGATCCCAAGGACATTACAGATAAAACTTAGGGTAAACAATCCTATTACTGAGATATGCTTTAAGATCATTGACATTTGTGATTACTAAAAGCCTTCATATGTTATAACTTTACCACATTACTGTATTGAATTTAATGGAAACTTTTAGAATTATTTAAGATGCTATTTGAAGCAATTAACTTAAATCGATAGTTACACAGACTAAAGTAACTCTCTTACCCTATGCATTCCAACCTACTAAGTGAAACTCAGTTCACACAAAAACTATGGTGTGATAAGACAATGAACTTATATTTGGAAGAATAGTTCAATATTCGCTGTATTGTCATTATAACTGTACTTGCAGCTGCAAGAAATGGGAAACTTTAACTCAACTGGCTTGTGAGACAAGTAAATGTTCCCCCCATGTACCTTAGAAGTGGGAAATTTTTAAAGTTGGTGCAGTCCTTGTAATTCCTTCCTTTGTGCCCTTTTCTCTGAGTTGCTTCATTCTTGGGCCTGCTTCCTCACTGGGGAGGTACTCTCCCAAGTCCTGGCTTCACAAGAGTACACAATACAGAGAAAGACAGCATATCTCTTTTGAGCACTGTTTCCTCACACCAAGGGGATTTCTTTCCAAGCAGCCAGAGTCCCGCTGACTCACACTAGCCAACAGGCTCATTTCTGAACTAGTCTTGTGGCACGGGGAATGCCAGTGCCGACTTGCCCAGGCCCAGCTCCTACAAAGTTCACTGTGGCAGGGTTAAGATTACTCTTAAATCACCCAGGCCTCGCTCTGAAGTTGGAGAGGAGGTCATCTTTCTCTGCGAGTACAGGGGGTGTGGAGACAGGAAGAAAGGGGACAGAGAGGAAGGCCTAGGGCAGAATGGAAGCTGGGCTGCATTCACAATGTTCAGCATGATTTAGTAAAACTTTGTTATTAGTAGTAGCCTATAATGTTGATCTGAATATTCAACAAAATATTACAGAGCAATAACTAGCAAAGTGAAGTGTATCAGAAGCATCTGTGCATATTTTATTCACATGCAATTCTCCTTCCCATTTGGATTTGCACCTGTTTGAGGTTCACACTCTTCCTGTATTAATAGTTAGTTATTCTTAGAAACCTTGTTGGATCCTTCAGGAATGATGGAGTTAAAATGATTGCGAACTATTACCAAAAAAACCACAAAAATCCAGAAAAAACCCTTACAATGAGAGGCTATAAAGGAATAAAATAATGTATGTGGAGATTGATATTTCATCCTGTCAGCATTTTTTCACTTGATGTTTTGGTTTCAAAAATTCTGTGATACAAGTTATTATTTTTTAATCACTTTAAGAAAAAAATTAGCTAACTTGATGCTAAGGAAATCAACCAAACCTATTGTGTTTTATTGACCCTGAATCACACCTCAGATGGGTGCTCTTGCTAGCAATGGCTTAAGCCTAACTGAAACACCAGTTATGCTATGCTTTTCTTAGCTGAAAGCAAAAGAAATCTCTTTAAAAAAAAAAAAAAGCCCTGACCTACAGTGGGCTTCACTTTAGGTAGTAAGGACTTCATCTTGGAAATATTAAAATACGACATTTTGTTTTACATGAACTCTATTTTCAACTTTAATATTTTTTTTTCAAATGTCAAAATACAAAGAACATATGGAAAATTAGGAACATGTAGAAAAGCAGAAAGAATACAATTTTAAATGCTCATGCCCCAGATAAAGAACAATTAATAGCATGATAGGATAGTCTTCCAATTACGTATGAATCAATTGTATATGTATGTGATCATGGCTTGCGGGATAATACTTAGAGTGGTTGGTCAGGGAAGTAACCAGAAGTGTCACTGCTTTACGGAGTGTCCATTAGTGGATATCTTAAGTCAGTAAGACCAATATTTCTGCTTATTTTATGTGGTGGTACTTCTAAAACTTCACATCCCTTGTTGACTAACTTTATGATTTTTACCATATCTGTCTATTCCCTATGTGTCATTAGTGTTGCTCCTTGAGCTGACTGACTTTATTTTTCCTTCAATAGTGGGGGTTGAATCCAGAGCCTTACGCATGCTACCAGTAGTTCTACAACTGAGCTACATCCCCATTCTTTTTTAAAAATTTATTTTGATACAGGATATTGATAAATGGTACAAGCTGGGTTCAAACGTGCAATCCTCCAGCCTCAGCCTCCTGAATAGTTGGGATTATAGGGATGCACCACCGCATCTAGCCTGGCTCACTTTTTATACATACCGTATGTTAAATTTTTTAAAAAAACATATTGCAGGCCAGGGATTTAGCTCAGTGGTTCCACCGCCTGCCTCACAAGCGCAAGGTCCCGAGTTCGATACCCAGTACCAAAAAAAATTTACTATTTTAATTGGAAAACTATCACCCCAAATGGAAATGCAAGGTAGCTTCATGAAATCAATAAAAATAAACATATAATAAAAAACCAAAACTGTAATTAGAGTTAGATGCTTTTGCTTATCACAGACTCTAAGCCTGAGACCTATTTTCTGTTTAAGAAAAAAGCTTTGAAGGGTGAGTAGAGAGGAATTAACAAGTGTTAAAAGCATTACTGACAAAACATAGAATGTCTGATGAAGGACTTCCTCAGACTGCAAGGAAATTAAATCACTTTCACTATGTTATTCAATGTTATTTATATCACCTAACTTCCTGTCCAGTGGTACACGCCCCTCTGTAGCAAACACAGTACTACAGGAAGCTGTAGGCATTCATTTGATTGTCTGCCTCTCCGAATTACAGATTTGGACCCCCCCCCCTTATGTACGGGGAGAGGGTGTAGCCCTCAGAGCGGCTCTAGGCCAGCCTTAAGAACTATTCAGGAATTGAGTTATCTTGAATGCCTACTATATGACTGAATGATATGTCAGTCAGTGTATGCTCTCACATCTTGCCAACTCTCCTGTTGTAGGCTGGGTTGTGTCTGTACAAAACCCTTGTATTGAAGTCCTAACCTCCATACCTCACATTATGACTTTTTGGAGGTAAGAAATGTGACCAGGTAATTAAGTTAAAATGAGGTCATCAGGGTGGGCCCTAATACAGTATGACTGGTGTTTTTAGGAAAAGAATTAGGACACAGATACA